GATTCTGTTTTGTTGTAGACTCAGGGGAAACATGGGAGAGAGGATTCATGACGTTTTTATTTTGTGATTCGGAAATGACCTCCCACCCTACTGTACTGTTGACCTTTTGTTTCTTGTTTGCAGTTAGCTTCACCAGGGACATCTCGTGCTTTGACTTGCCGGCTGTCACACATACGCATCGGCGTATTCACGGATAGATACATATATGCGATGCCACCATGGAGGAATCAAAAGGCAACAGGACCTTCACCTACAAGGGCTGCAAAAAAGACCACCTCCACAACCAATAGGGGCAAAAATAAGCGCGCTGCTGTCGTTGCAAGGGCGCAGCGTGCACCGGTTTCAATGGGCCTCAGCAAGATACTTGGAGCTCATCCGCTGAACGTTGTGGAAAATGACACTGTGATCACAGTTCCATCTCCATGCGATGGAAAATTGTCTTCTTTTCAGCGCCTGGCAACCGTCGTACACGGTATTTTTTTGGTCACATTGGTGACAAAGGCGCAACTTGGGGTATTGCATTTTGAACAAGGTATCACGGCAACGGCAGACGATCGCTGGCTTGAATCTCTTGTGCGGTACTGTGGATTTACAGTACTGCTGAACGACATTATTGAGACTGCAGCCGCATTCAGCGACTGGTTGCAAGTCTTTGTGGTCTTGAAGCAAAGCGGGGAGGCGCTACAGAATCCTCTGAAAGCTGTCGGTGAGGCAACAGGTCTGACGTCAACGGTTCCAAAAGAAATTGTGGTGGTGAGGCTTAAACTTCTTCGTGTGACGGTGCCATCAGTTTCGGAGGCGGAGGTGTTTCTTTGTAAGCGGTGGGGTCAGAGCGAAGGTTGGCGGAGGGATGCGAAGAGTTGTTTGAAATTTTTGCTGGATGGTGAGACAACACCGACAGGGCATTTTTTTAACAATGATGCTCGACCAGTGGCTGGGAGGCCAACTTCTAACGTGTCCCCTCTGGCGAATAGTGACGAGGATGCGAATGACGGCGGCGAAGTTAACGATGAAGAGCTATTGGCACAAATATCAAAGGAGCTTCGTGCTTCATTGTCGCAGGAAAAGCTGCGATGCGTTGTTGCACAAATGCGGAGGGAAGTCATGGGGCTAGACGCAAAGCAGCAGGAGTTGGTGACTAGACGTCAACAGCGGGAACATCTGTTGGCCACCTACGATCTGGTGTGCGTCATACTCGGTGAGAGGCGCTCTGTCTGCAACTTGGCACAGTTAGTGCCTCAGATGGCGGCGCAAAATCGCTTTGGTGATGACGAGGAAAAAATTCTCCAGCAACTGGCATCTCTTGCGTTGTACCGTGAGAGTGGCATTGCGATGTTTTCGTTAGATGATGCTTTGGAGAAGCACCTGAGTAGCGAGACAGAGGCTGGTGCCACGTCATTCACCTCAAAATCGGTGAATGTAAGTAAGTGCACCACGCAGGAGTTGGAGTCGGTGGTGCTTTGTTTAGATCGCCATGCAGCGTCAAGAGCCAAACTGTTCACGGCAGTACAACAAGAGTGAGACGATTTTTCTAGTCTCCTTTTTAATTTTTATCTTTTTGCAGTCTTCTCTGCTTCACGTGCACACTCACGCGCATCGGGGTTGTCGTGTAAGCAGTGAAAAAGAAACGAGGAGGACGAGAGGGATGTTAATTGAACGCCACTGTAAAATATTTGAAGCTCATTTTGCCAACAGGGAGGTGAGGCGAAGTGTACGACCCGCTGAAATGCGCACTACACGCTGCCATGTTTTTCATTTCATTTCTTTTTCTTCAACAGGAACACACGCACGGACGTACACACGCACGGGTGGCTTTTTTGAGAGCTGTTTAAGTGTTGAGGGAATAAAATAAAAGAAGGGACCAAGAAGAAGAAGGAGGCAGACACTCAAAAAAAGGTGGGTTGATGTGACATTGACGATGATGCGCCGGTTTTTTTTCTGCCTTTCTGTGAATAGAATTCCTTTTGTGCTTTGTGGCTCGCGCTACGCGCCCATATTGGATCACATGGAGGTGCAGAGCAGTGACAGCAAAAACACGTTTCCACGGGCCTCGCTGTTTTCATTAACTGCTTGTGGGAAGGATATGGGTGCTGTGTCGTCCGACAACGCGGCGTCGGAAAAAAGACAGAAAAAAGCAGGCCTTTGACGCCCTTGTTCACTGGTGTGCCGCGCACCAGCAGGCTGCTACGCGGGCATTCTCATTGAGGTGTGCCTCAAACACGGTGACAGTATCTGCGTGTTCGTCGTCAGCTTTAGAGTGTGATGAGGCCGTCTTGCAGTGGCTGCAGGAGCATTCAGACACTCTTACGTGCGGACAATCTCTTCTTATATGCAGTTTTGTGTGCGAGGTACTCCTTTGTCGTTTGGACGCCGCTGCCGCCTCCGTGGCGGAAGCAGCGGCGGGAAGTGGATGGGAAAAAGTTGAAACAGGGACGGAACTGTTGTTTCAACAGCAAGTGAGCATGTTTACAAATAGAATCGTGGCGTTGCTTCAGCGTGCCAATAGAAGTGATAAGCTGGAGTTGCAACCTCTTTCTATTCTTACAAGTTGCGCATACGGCATATATCGTCTGTCATGTGTAGAAAGCCCTTTTTTTGGCGAGGCTGAGAAGTTATTGTTGAAATTACCTTCAGCAGTCATGTTCTCCATTTTGTATCAGTTGCGTAGCGACGGACTGAGGAAACTCTTTCAACTGGAGGAGCAGGTGGCTATGAATGTTGGCCTCACGCTTTTGTTTATCGTGGATGAGGAGCGCCGTCAGACGTTTCTCCCTGCCGGCGACACGGTGATTGTGAACGCTATTTTGCGTCGTGTGCTGAGACATGCTGCTCAATTGGTTAAAAAAATGGATGAGACATGTGAGGAGTCTCTTTTAGCTCTTGCAAACAATACCTCTTCAACCGGTTTCTCCCCACTGCCGTGTGTCGGACGAGGGGAGGTTGCCAATTCCCCCTCCATGCAAGAATGTGTGGCTATCATGCAAAACATTGCATTTAGTTCGCCTACCTCCCGGCTGGAGATGTTGTCGTATCTGTTGCGCATACGGAGAAAACCCGCGCATTACACAAGGAGTGAGCTGCAACTGCTTCCTGCTTTGCTACAAACAGTGTCAAATGTCCGCTTGCCAGAGGCACGGATGCTCGAGACGAAAATTATCGCTGAAGTTCCGATTCCCGATGACGACCCTGTACTTGTAGCACAACTTTTTAGCATTGCCGCATCCAAAGAGGCGAGGTATCTTGCTTGTTTGGATGCTGTGGCGGCTGAAGGTCTCACAGAGAAAGCTGCTGTACATATCATTAGTTGTGCTGGTGTTTACCTTCGGTGGGAGACGCTTAAACGCCTCACCGCAGTTGTCTTGGAAAAAGAAATGTGCTCCACATCACCATCACCATTACCATTAAGGCTGGTATTGAATGGTGCAATGGAATGCATTTTGACGACATTTGTGACCCGCTTAGCGGATTTGGCGCCGAGTGCTGAAAGAGATGCTATACAAACGTATCTGGCTCAGTTGGTGGAGCAGGTGGATTGGGTCGGAAGCACCCCGCCTGATTCAGCCAAGTTGGCGCTGGAACGTCTCACGCTGCTCAAAAAACTCTCAGGTTGTGGATTTCATATACGTGCTCCAGAGGCTGTGATTGCACTGGGAGAAAAGGCACTCGATCTTGAATCTGGCAGTAGCATGATCAACACCCTTCAATGCGTGGTGGAGGCGCTATCATTGTTGTCTGAGGTGGAACGTCGCCGCGATTTGGTAGTGTGCATGATTCACTATAATGGTACTAGATCGACGTCCTCAGCGATACGTTTTGTGGTGTTATTGGCCCCCTTGGCTGTCACGCACGGGGTATGTAATAGCGAGTTGGTGCAGTTGCTTCTTAAAATGCAAACACTGAATCCCTTCAAGTTGCGCCAGGGTTATATTGAGGGGTTGCTGAGCGCCGAGGACGCATTTACGGTGTTTGTGATCCACGCGGTCAACTACCTTTTGGCGAGTGAGGAGTGGCGCACGTCTGCGGACCGAATCCGTGAGGCGGTGACGCTGTGGATCCAGGAGTACCTCCATCACGTGATGCATCTTTCCCGGAAGCAGAAGATGGCATGTATAACGGCGCACAATGACGGCAAAGGCGAGGCTTCCCCGCCCCATGAGGAAGAGGACATGGAGGCAACTGAAACTGAGGCCCCAAGTCCAGAACGTCTTGAAGAGCTGTTTTCTTTGCTGTTGCGTGCAGGTGTAAAATTGCCTGATTTCTTTGCGTCTGAGTTGACTGCTCGCGTACGAGATATAGAGAGTGCAGGGGCACCGGCTGGTGAAAGAAGGGGCATATTGCATTTTCCTCCACCAGGACACTTTGTTTTTTGCTGCAAACTTGACATTGCGATGGACTCTCCCCTTTCCATGGAGCTTTTGGAGTACCTTCTCACGACGTGTGACTGTCGCATTTTGAACTTTGTCCTCACGGCATTCCTTGTGCATGCCAAAGCTACATCGCGGGATCCACACATATTGCTGTTGACAAATCTGCGTCTGGTTTTCCAGGCACTCAAGCTGTTTCTGCGTCGCCTCGATGTGCTAGGCGATGACTTGTCGACGGCCTTTTTTCCTTCCTCTGCGCCGTCTGTGGTGGCGAACAGCGTGCGCTTTATTGTGGGGTTCCTTACCAAACAAGAACGAAACCAGCGTGTGCTTAAATCTCTTCGCTGCGCGCCTTCAACGGAAGAACAAAAGGCGGCAGCAGATAACCATGTGGAGCTCATAGCTGAACTAGCAAAGGTTGAAAAATTGCTGTTTCGTGCCCTAACGTATCTCAACTCTGCGCACATGAAGGATATGGCTTTGCTTTTATTAGACCGCTTGACTCTCTTGGCTCCTTCCGCTGCCGACTATTTGATGTTGCAGCTGCAGAATCAATTGAAGGAATTTACGCAGGTGGAACTTTTTTACCTTGCGCTGAAGTACCCGCCGGCGCAGGATATTGTGATGAAGGAACTTCAAAAGTACGACATTGCTCTTTCCGTGGATCTTAATGATTTTGTGCGAGTTGCGAGAAATCTTCCCATGGCAGTGACCAAGATGGTAATTGAGGCACACTTGCCAACGCTTACCTTTCAATGGTGCACGCGAGTTTTGTCCGCACTTGCCCTACGACATGAATCGATCCCCATGGAACTGCTGGCATCGATGTTGGGCAAGCTTGAGGAGGAGGTTGAAAATGCAACAGTGATGGATCGCAATGTTGCACTTGTTGTGCTGCAAAAGTATCTCAATTATGGGGATGCTGAGGCAGAAAATAACGTGCCACCTTATCGACGACGGCTTGTTGAACGCTGCTGCGACAAACTTTTGGTGTTAGAGGAGATTGACTCACTGGATTCTCTTTCCAGTTTTTTGGCGACTTTTCCTGACGCCCTTGCAGATGTGATTGGGGAAGCTATCACGGGGCGCGTTGTGTCTGCCGTGCTACCGGCACTATTGGCGGACGTGGACAGTCTCATGATGCTATGTCGTCTTCTGCAAAAACATAAATTGTTGAATTATACAGTACGGCTGAAGATTACAGACGCTTTTTTTGGGGAATTGTTGCACGCAGAAGAGAGTACCAAAACATCGTCGCCTGCATCGGTGTCGTACCCGTTGGGGACTGTCTTGGGCTTGGCCTTACTGTTGATTGAGGGCGCCCTTCAGCAAGCTCCATTACACAAGGGAGATGACCCAGGAACAGATGGAGCAAACCAGGATTATCAGACTGTCATTTGTATTTTACAAGCTGTAAGGGCGCGATATACATCGTTGGCGGATCGCTTGTTGATTGTAAGCACACTGGTGGAACAAAGGGACACCGTGGGATTTGCATACACACAGGCTACGCCTGCAGAGGAGATGACTGCTGAATTGATCAAAGTCTGTGACAAGATGACTTCTAGTGAATTTTCCAGACTTCTACAATGCATCAGTCGAATGAAATGTTGGCATCTTGTAAAGCTAGATCGTGGTCACTTTGGGAATGTCTTTCAGAAGACCTGTAGCGAAGCAGATGCTCATAGTCGCTGCGTTGCTTTTAAAGCTCTTTCATCGGATGTGGAGCTGTTTCGTTATTATGAACCTTTTATGATGTCGTTGTTGGGTGAAGTTGTGGAGGTCATGTCTCAAGAAGATATGGAGATGGTTCTCTCTGCGGTACTTTCTCTGCAGCTTACAGAGGCATTGGAATCCCTTCTTGACACCATTGGAACTCGTGTATTGTCCATGATGGATCAGTGCAGGCGTAGTACCTTGATTCGCATGCTGCAGTGCCATGCTGCCTTTGGTCTTCAGGACGATGCCCTTGTATTGCGTCTTCTTACAGCCTTGGAGGAGCAGTGCACGCGTGAGACACGGCTGGACACGTCGCAGGCTCTCACACTGCTTCAGGCCACGGTGGACTTGGATGTTCCTATTCCTTCAAGGCTGGCAGTCACCTGTTTTGGTTGGTTGGAGCATCACGTGGATGGAATGACCATGGCCCAATTGGGCCACGCCGTCCGTCTGGCGGTGGAGGTGGAGATGGGTTATACGGCATCTGTGCATGCTGTGGCAATGCGAGCGTTGGAGCAGCGGGAGGCCCTGCGGACCAATGCGACATTTCGTGAATCAGTGGAGTTGCTTTGTGACGAGTTTAGTGCGGAAATACCATGGCATATGAGGCCCACTCTGCTGCGCAGGCGATACCAGGAGAAGAGACTGAAAGATTACGTTAACAAGCGACGATCCCTTGTATCAGATGAATTGAACTAAACACCTTTTTTAAATATATTTATTTAATGCAATGTTGAGGGGAGTGTGCATGAAATGTTTCAATGAAGAGAAAGAGAGAGAGGGACCTACTGTATGTCTGCATGTGACGCACAATGAGACGCTGCAGAATAACTGATAGGTGAACCTGGGGCAACAGAAAGGGGGCATTTCCTGCCTTTGGTGTTGGCATAAACATGGAAACTGACTGAAATTGGGAATGCGTTTTTGCTTTCTTCTTTCCCTCCACCTCGCCTTTTCTCTCTCTTTCTCTTTTTGTTTTTGTTTGGTCAAGTACGGTTCGTGTATTGCCATTTTGAGAGTCATGCCATCAGAGAACGGTGGTACGGCGGAGGATGGGGTTCTGACCGAGGATTGTATTTTGCGTGCCTCGCGTCAGTACGATGTGGAGATGATCTTCCAGGTCTCGCTGCGCTCACGCGGACTCCGTTTATTGAGTGACGGGTTTGTGAATTGTTGTGCGCTCACGCGTGTGGATCTCTCACGCAACCGCCTCGCCAGTCTTGAGGGCATTGCCCTTCTTGCCGACTCGCTCACCCACATTAATGTCTCTGAGAATGAAATTGAAGACGTCGTTGGTATTGACCGCTGCTCAATTCTAGAGGAGGTGCTCTTGGAGGGAAACCAGCTGAGCAAGGCGACAGCACTTGCGCCGTTAGCACAGCTTCCCAAACTTCGATGCCTTGTTCTGCAGCGGGAGATACCTCTGTCTAACGACACGGACGAAACACTTCTTCTTGACAATCCCATTTGCCGGGAGCGTGAGGTCTATGAGAAACTCGTTCGGCAGCACTTCAGCGCCGTTCTCTGCGTCGATGGCCGCTGCTTTCGTGATCCTTCCGCGAGGGAATTAGTAGCCGAGACAGTGTCATCGTCACCATCGATGCTGCTACTCTCAAAAGCCGCATTGAAGGACATGGTCGACCTGGAGGACGATTTGGACAAGCGTATCTTCGCTAACGCTGTGGTGGAGTGTCATGCCGCGTGCCGAAAGGCATTGTTGTCATAAAGCAAAATGGAAGCTGCAAATGTATGCGGAATGGGCACGGTGGTGAGGGAGGGAAAGCCAACTCAGCGTCTTTTTTTCTCTATGTCTGCGGTTTTTTTTTTTGCATCTCCGGCTGCGGAGGATGTTTCAAACCTCTTCCTGCCTCACTGACTGTGACTGCGGTTTTCTCTCTTTCATTTTCTTCTTGTTGTTGCTTGTCGTCATCGTCGCGGCGCGATTCTAAAGTGTGTGGCGGCGCCTCATGACTTGCAACCGTGATACGGAACAACTGCGGATGGAGGGTCGCATTGCACTGGGCGATCACGTCATTATTACCGGCGGCGGCCTGAAGCGAATTGCGTTGGTGCAGGCGGACAGCAAATTGCGCCTTGGCAGCTCCGGGATGGTGCAGCTTGAGAAACTTGCCGGCCTGCGCTTCGGTGAGGTGCTTCGGTATGACCCCAAAGAATGCGTGTTTCTCCCGACAAACGCGTATCCCGACCTCGATATCACGAGCCTGCAGCAGTGTGTTAACGACACACGCGACAACCGCCACCTCGTAGATGATAATCGAAATCAGATGCTTTCAAATGTAGAGGCCGCTACTTTGCGCCATGAGAAGGGTGTGGATGCGTTTCTAACCACGCTGGTGGAAAAGAGCTCGACGTTTCACACAAAGACGGCCTACTCTCAGGAAAAGTATCTTCGAAAGAAAAAGAAGCGTTACGGTACACTGTACAAGGTGGAACGCGTCACTCCCGACGGCCTTGCAGAGGTCTACCTCCCAACAATTAACCCCTCGGATGTGGAGCCAGAGAAGACGCGGGCGATACGGCTCCGTGCTGACACCCTGGCGCTGATTCTACACCACAGTGATGTGCATAGTGGTAGCCGTGTTCTCGTGTACGATAAGACAAACGGTCACTTGGAGGCGGCGCTTCTCACACGCCTTGGGGACGACGGCATATTACTACAGTTGATGGACAAGGTTGCACAGCCCAATGTATTTCCGGCGCAGGCGATGGGACTCACACGCATCCGAGACCTCTGGAAGGCGGTTCCTCGCAATGATGCCTTTCTCCTTGGCATAGAGAGCACAGAGGAGGAACAAGATCAGGACGACACAAAAAAAATGACCGAAACGGAGAAGGATAAGCTCAGTAAAAACAGCAATCGGAAAAGGAAGGCTAATATTGAGGACCCCTCACAGTGGCTACGTGGGATTGACGCCCGCCGCATGTTAAAGGAGCGGCCAGCAGATTCACTCATTATTGTGAATGACGCAGACTCTGAGAGTGTAATTAACGAACTGCTGCCCTTTCTGGCTCTGGGCGGTCACATCGTGGTGTTCAGCCAATTTCTGGAAGACCTGTCGGGCGTATTTGCGAGGCTGTGGAACGACTGTGTGAACATTTGTGTTTTCGAGACATGGTACCGTCACCACCAGGTCCTTCCGAACCGGTCACATCCAACAGTAAACATGAGCACTGCAGGTGGCTACTTGCTGACAGCCATGAAGGCGGAGATAAACGGCACTTCACGCCCATGTCAGGAGGTGGTTTCAGAATCACCTCTGCCGGAGCAGGCGAAGAGTACCGTGATGGATGGAGAAGTACCAAGGAAGCGGATGCGACATGAGGGCGAAGAATCACAGCATCAACGCTAACCGAGGCGGGTGTGGTGTTACTTGCCATAGCCTGCGTTCCAGGTGTACCAGCAGTCGAGTAAACCGCACATTCAACTACTTAACAAGAAACCCACACGCACGGATAAACAGAAACAATGGGCCACCCTTGAGAGAAGTGGCGAACCTCCCACTACTGCGACAAGTTGCTTTTGTTGTTATTATTGTTGTTATTGTGTGTGATTCAGCTGCGTTTTTCTCCTACTTGAATAACAAAGAAAAAAAAAACGATTAAGGTGATTCCATGAATTTTGTATGCTAGTTTTCTTTGACGTCGTTCTTCGTTTTGTTTTCCCACGGTGGTATTAGAAGGGAGCTACACATAACTCATTCGTGCACACGTCATTTGTGCTTGCAAGACTCCAAAAAAAAAAGGCTTTTTTTTTCTTTCCCCGTGAAAAGGAAGATCATGATCTACGACGTCAGCTCTCCGCAGTACCAGCAATTCCTTAGGTCCAGTGGCCGCCGTCGTGAGGACTACACCAAGGGTTGCAAGACCGGTGCTGTGATGAACAAAAAGATTACCAAGGCGGGAGGCGCTGCTAGCACTGGACTGTAGAAAAGGAACACTCGCCCAGTAAAGGGGGGGGGGGGGGAGGAACAGCGCATGAAGAGAATTAAAAAGGAAAAGTAAAGAAACAAAAAACAAAAAGGGGAAACAACAACCAAATTAATGCTTCTCTGACTTTAGGAGTCTGCGCCGACTACTTCTCTTTGGTTCCCCCAGAAATATTATTTGTAATACTTCTGCGATACGGCGGAGTTGTTAAGTAAAGGAATGGAAGTGAAAGCGGATAGCAGTACGCATTAAACTGTCGTCTTTGTTTAAAAGTTTTACCGCCACCTGTCTGTGGCGGAAGGGCGCGATGGGAAGGGATCTGTCGTCTTCTCTCACTCGGTACTGCACTTGTGTTTTTTTCTTTTTTTGGTCAGGTGAACTTATTTTACTTTTTTTTTTTTTTAAGGGTTGATCACTTTTTTTTTTCTTATCTTTTGAGTCCACCGGCAGAAGAAGGATACGTGGGATCTGTGATGAAAAGGTTTTTTGATCGCTTCTATAGTGCCACCGGTATTATTGCCGACTCGAGTCAACGCGGCGTCGCCAGTCGTGTAAGCTCCTTGCTAGTGCAGGGAACAGTGGCCTTTTCGTTGCTTGGCACACTCGGCGTTGACACCACTCCCCTTGTCGCTGCTGCAGGTGTAACGGGGGCCACTATTGGGTTTGCCTGTAAGGATTTTGGCTCCAACTTTGTCGCGAGCATTGTGCTGAGCGGTCAACAGTCGCTTCGAACAGGCAATTGGGTTTCCATTGGAACAGGCATCGCCGCTGTCAAGGGGGAGGTGGTGGACTGGGACACACGCTACTTGTACCTGCGCAGCTCAGAGGGCCACCTGTTGCACATCCCCAACAACATGGTTCTCAACTCTGTGGTGACGTGGGAGAATGAAAAGAAGCACCAACTGCCTCAAACAAACTCCGCGAAGGAGAAATCCGAACAGGCATCTGGAGGCAGTGCGGTCAAGTAGTGGTGATGACGCAGGTGGTTATGGGGGAAGTAGGAGGAATATGAATGCGTTTGAAACCGTGTTTTTTTTTTCTCCTTTCTTTTTGAATGATGTGACTGTGCATGTTCCATAGTTCGAGAGCGAGAGTAGTTGGTTTGTTTCGTTGTTGAGTTTACAAGGGCACGTGGCCTTATCCTTTGTTCTTTGTGGCATTCATGTTGAAAGACAACAATGAAGAGGGGGCAGATTCAATTGCTGACTCATTCTATTGCTCAGCAGATCATAAAAAAAAGTAGTGGTGAAGAGATGTTTTTTTTTTTCTTGTTAGACCGGTCAGTACAAGCGAGACGGTCTTTGCATATACACGTGTGCTTTTTTTTTCCTTCTCTCTCTCTCTCGCTGTTTTTTTTTTTTAAAAAAACAACAACAACACCAGCAATAGAAGGGCGGGGCAAACAAGCGAACGAGAAATATTATGGCGTCGCTTTCCTTGCGGAGAGTCGGTGCAATTCAACATGCGCAAGTGCTCGCGCAGTCCTCTCCGTTATGTGTCACATATGTGGAGCTGATGGCAGGTGCATACCTTTTCGCCTCCGTGAACGCTGCGAGAAATCAATGTATTGTAGAGGCACTTGTTGACACAGCTGCCGCTGCTGTTTCTGCCGTCACCTCCATGAATGCCAGATCTGCTTCGTCAGCCGTAACTTGGGTGGCGGAGCATGAAAAGTTTCTTGAGACTCTGCAAAGTGATTTCCGAATTCCCAAGATCTTTGAAGTAATGCAACATGAAGGAGTGATTACGACGATTGAGCTTGCTCGTGATTACCGAACGGTGGAAGGCTCCAGAGTCATGGTAACGGGAAGGAAGCGAATGTTAGAATCAATTTATGTACATTTGTTTATTGGAACATCCAACGGAACCATCTTTGTCTGCAATGCGCTCCGTGGGACCATCATGGCGTTGACGCAGTTTCAGTATCATGGCTTTGCCGAAAGCCACCAGTTTAATACGCCTGAAGAGGATGGGACGGGGCTAACTTCTCGCAATGAGGCCGTTGTTCGTTTTGTCGTGCAGCGTGCCGCACCGGATGCACATTTTAATGCAAACATTACTCAAGGTATCGCTCTTCTACCAACACAGACCCTCCATGCGGTGTGCATCATTCACAGTCGAGGGCGCGCTGTATTGCTCAATCGAGCCGCTCTTGACACTTTTCTTTCTGTGGCCGAGCAGTGTCTTGATGGAAAACGGCCATACTTGTTTTTGGAGTGGTCGCCAGAGAGCACTGTCAGTTCCTATCCCACTGCGGGGCCAGCTGCCCATTTTATTTCTTACGTGGAATCTGTTTTTGTTGCTTCGGAGGAGGGGCGGTACTCCGCCGTGGAGCTGCAGACGCAGCCAAAGAAGTCCAATGGTCCTATGGGGCGCACTATTCGTGATGCAGCCCTTTTTTTTGGTAATTTGTGTGATACCACGGCGATCCTTCGTAACGGTCCACAGGCCATGATGTTTCTGCTTTTGTGTGGGGAGACGCCAGCACTTTCCATGTATACGTTTGAAAACGCACGTGCTGCCTTTTCTGCCCGCCAAGCCGTACGAGCTGCGGCCTCCTTCCTGGGCAGCATGACGCGGAGACTCTGGCACGGATCCCGAAAGGATGAAGGTAGTGTGACGTCCAAACCGAAACGCCTGGCCAAACATCCTCAGCAAGCCAAGGATGCATTCTATGAAGCTGACATGGTGTTCAGTAGTGTTCAGGTGGATCCAACCTCCCACTGGGCTGCTTGTTACAGTGAGAGTGCTGGACGTATTTATCTGTATGATTTAATGGGCGGTACTATCTGGCGGGTGATGAAAGGTTGCCGTTCTGCACAATGTCAATGGTGCATGGCCACTATCGCTGGAAAACGCATGTTACTACTTGTTGTGCACCTTCTACTTCGTCACGCCGTGGAGTTGTACTCTCTACGTTTGGGACAACGTCTGGCAGCTCGCCATGTTCCACAGGGATCGATCATGCTCCGTCCGGAATCCGTCTCCTCTGCATTGTCTATCCTTCTACTGACGCCTTCCAGAGAAATTGTACAGATACACGTCGAGCTGAAGGTGAAGCAGGAGGAAGAAGTTTCTTCTTTATTTTGTTTAGCTGCGCCTTCTGCTTCAGGGGGTGAGGGTGTAACGTCTACCAGTAAGTTGCAGGAAAAATTGTATCAAGTCATGCCCCGAGATGTTTTGATCGCGGCGATGCAGTTACCACTTCCTGTACCTGCTACGGACGCGAGCCTTTTCTCTGTGTACCATGCGTATATGAAGGAGTTGGAGGCTACTGTAAAGAATAGATTTTCACCCGGCGTCTCCGATGACCGCTGTCTCCCCATGAACTTTGAGGTGACAGCGGAGAATGTGCCACATGACATCAGCGCGGCTCAGTGTCTCAATTACTTGGAACTGCGTCTCGCTTGTGTGACAAATTATCGTCGGGCATTAATGCTGAGGGGGCTAGATGGTGAAGTTCGGCAAAAGGACATCACAACATCACAAGTGCTATGTAACGACGTTTTTTTTACGGAAGAAGGGCAACCGCATCGATCTCTTGTACAGGCAGTGAGGACAGTATCTGATCTGCTTTGCGCGGCCGGTGCTGCTGAGATTGTTCACCTCTTGGACGATATCCTTCCCGCAATGCAACGGTTATTGCAAACGCATAAAGACCCCACCCCCGAGTGTACCTCTCTGCATATTTCAGCGATGTCACCGGATGCTTTTTTAAAACTGTTTTATTGTGGAGGATATAAGTTGGAGTTTTTGCGTGACATAGTGTGGGGCAGTGAAGATGCGAGGGATGCAGTAGAGGATATATGGGCCGAAATTGGAGCCGTATTTTACAGTTCCTCCGGCGGTGGTCTCGGTTCTTTAATGCAGCAGTTGGAGGTTTTCAGTACGTTAGGTTTTCAAACTACGGAGGTGGCGGTAATATCGTTGTCGTGGTTTTGTTGTTCCTTTGCCCGGCTCCCCACATCTGCGTCTTTGGGCTTACTGTCCAATCTTGTCTCTTTGTTGCAAACGTGCAATGATGCGGCATTTCTTACAGCTGTTGAACACGTTCCATGTTTGACGACAGGAGTGACTAGTACGAACCTTGAGGAATGTGAGGCATGCGTATTATTGCTGACTCTGTGTATGGTAATACGTCAACAGGCGAGGCCTGTCGGACAAATTTATTATGGACGCTATGTGCATTTACTGCGCCAGTTGCTGGCGCTTCGAGTAATGCTTCATCACAGTGAAACTCAACTTCATTCATTCACCACGGCTGCAAGCAGAAAAGAGCATCAACGTCTGCGTCTGCGTGGGTTGCTTCCATGTGATGGAGGTGATGCATTGAACGCGTATTGCTTTAGATTTTTCCCCGCTTCAGTGGCTCGGGTTTTGTGTAAGAACATCATGGGGAGTGATGAGCTTACGAGGGTCTTGGGTGGAGTCGATATGCTGGAATTGCTCAATCCGATTTTCATTAGGGTAGAAACACCTGAGTGGAATGTGGAGACGCCATGGTATAAGGAGCGAACATGGAATCATGGTGTTTTCTCCGAGTACGTTTTGAAACCACTTTCATCCGCTGCTGCAGCTGTCATGCCCACAGGGTCTGAAGAGCAATCGTGGATTGGCACACCGACTCCGCAACAAGTAGGAGGGTTAGGTGTGATTCTGGCTGTGGAGTTAATTCTTCTGGAGTGGGTGTTGGAACCTCTTCGCGAGGAGCCTCTCGCTTTTTTTCAGAACAATTTGGTCCCAGATGCCAATCTTTTCGAGGGGAATGAGGAGCTTGTGAAGGAGCCTGCGCGGCGTCCAAAGGGGAGCCGTTCCACGCGCGATTATTTTAACAGTTGTCGTAAGCTTTTAGCTTTGACTCGAGACTGTGTGGTTGCCATTGTGGGGGAGGCCAAGGACACAGAAAGTTGTGGAAAGTTTGTTGAGGCGATGTCAGTATTGCTGTCGTATGACAACAAGGCGTTCTTTGCGCTTATTCCCCGTGTCATTCGACGTCAGCTCGAGGCGCTCATGGCGTTGCTTCAGGTGAGTCCGGCATCGTTTCTGCGGCGCATTGACGACGTCTCCTCTTTTCTGGATACCGTTATGTTTTTTGCCTTCACAGAAGCTGCGACACAGCTTTCTTGCGTTACTTCACCGTGTTTTGGGTCTCTAGCGATTCCATGGAGCTGCATGTTTGAGGTGAAGGGACGGCTGCTGCGCTTGTCACCTGAGGCTGACATTACCGAGCCCGTGAAGCGACAGCAGACAGTGAGTCGAATGCAAATGCGGAGCTCACTCTTACGGGAGTTTGCCTTTATGAGCTTTGAGGGCACACGCAATGATGCAACTGATGGGCGTGTTGTGCAACTGGGAGCGGCGTTGGGATTGACTTGCATTGTTAGCGATATTCCTCAACTTGTTCTGTTTGACGCCGCTGCGCTTCATTTGGCTTCCAATTCGGAGCTGACTCGTCTGCTGAACGCTGTGGCAAGTCGTCATTTGGCTGCTCGCATTGCTGCGGAGGCTTTTCGAATTATCGTCGCCAATTGCTTTAGGTACTATGTGGTGTTAAAACGAGGCATCTCAAAAGAAGATCGACCTGAGCTGCAGCAGCTCTCACTGAAGATTAAAAGCATGCGCGCCACAATGACAGAGGAGTGTCGTTTATGGTTACTGAGTAAAACTGCGAAGGAGGAGTCTGACACCGGAAAGGAAGCGGAGCCGATGTCCAGCTTGCCGCTGGAGCATGAGTTAGTGGCGTGTCCGAGTTGGTACACGCCGCATTTGCTTAGCGTCGTTGAAGGCAGGGTGCAGGGGCGACTGCGTCAGCCGCGTGGCTCTGAGGGGTTCTCAGATCTCAAAGCACTTCTTTTTACCCTGGCACTTGCTGCTGCAGGGGCCAAATCCGCATTGGAGGGCGCTGCGCCGCATGTCGCTGAGGAACTGCCAGTGGTTGCAACCCGACTTGCAGGGTTGCTTTGACATAATTAACGGGCGTTCCCCACATACACACATGCACACGGAAAAGTAAGGAAAAGAAAAAAAAATCATTTTGTTGTTTTTTTTTTTCTGCCTTGTCTTTTCTCCTCTTGTTGCTTTGCAGTCTCTTCTCTTTTTTTTTTTTGTATATTTGTAAAGGAATGATGACGAGTTGCTTGGCAGAAAAGGCGCACAAGCGCGAGGAGCGCGTTGGGATGCGTTTCTTCCTTATGGATGCCTTTCTCGCGAAGAATGGCACGAACGTGTCGTTTAAGCGACCGCTGGTGTCTCTGAAAACCTTGTATTCGGATTTTGTGGTGCGTGAGCTATCTCCGTTGTACAACAATGGCGAGCCACTGGTCCTGGAGTCCGTGCCTGTGCCAGAGCGATTGGGCGCCAAAGCGAAGGCTGTGAAGCGGTCACGACGAGGCGCCGAACAAGCGGGAGAAGAAGCAGAAACAAAAAATGAAGAAGGTGAGAATGAGGGAGAGGCGACGGCTACCACGTTGGATGTCCAACAAACCTCTCTGCTAGAGCGAGTGCAGGCGCGATTTGCCTCGCTGCTAAGCCAGGAAGATTTGGCGTCGTTGCTGGACGCGTTGCGCACGGGTACTGACCGGATGACCGTTCGGGCCTCTCTGACGAAGGCCCAGCGCACTGAGCTGCATGCAGCGGTAAAGGAAGTACTTGGGGCGACGCACATCAGCCGCACTCTGGACGGGGCGCTTGTGATTGAAAATTCAACGCCAGCGACAAGACGGGAGGAAATGCGCCGGTCGAATCCAATCCGCCTACAAAATTTTTTGCACTTTACGTTATACAAGGAAAACATGGACAGCAATAGTGCTTTGCGGGCGATTGCTACCCAGCTTGGGATGCCGTTGCGACAACTCCTTTTTAGTGGTACAAAAGATAAGAGAGCGGTGACCCTCCAGCGTGTTGCCGTTCGAGGTCTGTCACGCGAACGGCTAGCTGAGATCAATGCTCGGTCATTTGGACCGGAATGCAAAGTGAAAGTGTGTGGCTTCCAGGAAGCAGAAACTGGACTGCGCCTCGGCGACACGATGGGAAACCATTTTCTCATTGCCCTCCGACTTTTACCGGACAGTCCGCAGCTTACACCTGACACGTTGAAGGTCGTTCAAGAGGCGGTCGGCTCTATTGGGGCGGTGAACTACTACGGTCCGCAGCGCTTTGGCACGACGGAGGTGTTAACAAGTGATGTTGGTATTAAGTTACTTTCTGGGGAGTTTGAGCAGGCCCTGCGGATGTTATTCCACTCGAAAGCAATTGTTGAACCCAATATCCTTCCCTCGAAGGAGGCGGTGGAGCGACGTGACTTTGCGGAGGCACTACAACTCCTTCCACGTTACTGTTTTCAAGAGCGTGACATTCTGAAGCATTTGGTACGCTGCCCCAACGATTTTTTGGGTGCGTTCCACAGGATTCCGCGCACTTTGGGGATGTTGTACTGCCATGCAGTACAAAGTTTGATTTGGAATCTTATGGCGACTGAGAGACTAAAACTGGGTTTGGAGCCTCTCCCCGGTGACCTACTTCCGAAGTCCCGCTATACCCGCATACAGAAGCATGGGAGTCGACCTAATGACACGGACACTGAGAATGATTTAAGGGTTCTACTAAAGGAGGAAGGCTTACCGGAGGTGGTGCGGCTCACAGCGGAAGACGCAGGCACTGGTCTTTTTCGTTTGTGTGATGTTCTGCTTACTGTTCCAGGCCCTGACGAAGAACTGCAGTATCCGGATGTCGCAGGCTGCACGCGTGAGGCGTACGTTGCGACGCTGACGTTGATGGGGGCGGAGATGCTTTTGAATACCGAGAATCCCTTGGTGAAGGTTTACCATTATCATGGGGCGTATCGGCCGCTGGTGGTACAGCCGAAACGACTAAAACTACGGCTTATGGACGCAAAGGGACCACGTGCGCCACTCCTTCCCACAGACTTGGAAAGGCTATCAGCGTCGAGTGTCCCCAATGGCGTGGGGAATCATGAGACTGAGCACGACGATTGCGCAACGACCCCGGTGAGCAAAGCAATCGTGGCGGAATTTTCGCTTCCTCCAGGCTCGTACGCCACCTCTGTGTTGAGGGAGTTTAGTATTTCTTGCTCAGAGGGTTACCACACCCCAGTGGCTACAGAGGCCGATGACAGTAACACTCTCAATGGAGGCGTGGATGCCGCGGCGTCATAAGGCAGCGTAGGGGTTTGTACCTGGATGTGAGTGTGTGCAAGGCTTCCCGTTTTTTTTTCTTTGGAGGAAGCTGGTATGGTCTCGCCCACAGTTGTGGAACTAAAATATTGTGTACTCGTATAATTGTCGTTTTTGTTTTTAACGCTTCCCTTCAAGGTTGCTGCGTGGGCCTGTATTCCTTGTGAGGGACGAAAACCTACAAAAGGAAACGTAGTGTTGTTGGTTTGCTGAGATTATTTTGCTTTTTTTTTTTTTCGTCTTTCTCAACATCTGTGGGGTGAACGAAGCCGCGGTTGCTCATACTCCAGCAATGGTACTGTAAGGGTCTCTGAAGGTGAATCTGCTCTCCACCAGAGTCTGTGAAGTCACTCCTGTATGTGACTCTAACTTGGCGTTCGAGAAAATGTCACTTCTTTCCGGATAGGGAAGCGCGGATGCCGTTACGGCGCATAATGCACTACAGGCAGCAGGTGAAATGGATATATGGGTTGAAAGCAGTGGTGTTTGTATGGGGGAAGGGCCTTTCTTCTCCCTGCCGTTTTTTTTTTTTTGACTTGAGCGCTACCGCGCAGCTCATTAAAAAAAAAAACGACTCAGATTACCTTGTTTCTTGCGGTCTTCTTTTTCGGGACCAGTGAAGCTCATCTTGTACTCGTTGCGGACTTAATGAGCACCCAGCGGGCTTCTTCCTGTGGATTACGATGCTGGCAACCCGGTGGGACGAGAATGCGAGAGGGAATGAGCGGTAAAGGATGGGGATAGCTTCTTCAGGTACGTCCCGCACGCAAGCCATGCCGCTTTTCATACATGACTCTTTTATGAGGGCATGAGTTTTGGGAAATGTTGCCAGTGACGGCAACGACAAGGAAAGAAAGACCATTTGTTCGATGAAGAGGAGCATGTGAACTGTCCCAGACGCAAACGTGAAACTCCTCTTTTAATTCGTTGCAAGATATTTATATCTTTCTCCTTTTTCGAGATTTAGGTGGCGTTGAGGAGAAGAAGATACACACACACGGAAGGGTGAAAACAAAACGAAAAAAGAGCAGCGCGAGTAACAGTGGGGCATTCCAAATTCTCTTGGACAGTGAGCTCCCTCCAGAGAGTGTAACGGAGGAGAAAAAAACTGGTGGTGTTTGGTGTAGACTTTGTGTTTAGGGGCAGAGGCGCCACCATGTTGATGGAGACGCTGGAGCGAGAGGTGGAAGCCCTGAACGCTGAGGTGACGCGGCTTCGATTGATGGTGTACTACATGAAAGATACCATGGGCGCCTCTGCGCCTCCGTCGGCAGTGTTTGCAAATCGTGAGAATGGCTACTGCAGTGTGTGTGGCCGTGGGGCGAGCTCACGCGATCCCACTCCTCAAGTGGAGGCCAAAAGTAGCAGCCGTGGGGAGTCGGTAGCATCGGATCTTGTGTCGCAGCGGGTGATAGAAGCAGTTGCACACTTGTTGGCTGCCAGTAAAGACATGAGGGCTGTGTTGCCAGCGCCGCACGAGGGATGCGTTGACAAACACTCGGATTGTCTTCGACAACGCAAGGGGTCACTGAAGGAAAAAAAAAGAAAAACATAGGCATCGCCGAAGATCTTTTGCTTCTTCTTCTGCTTCAGAGGTGGCAGCCCTGTCACCGTCGCCCCACAGAGAGAACCAAAGGAGAGTCCGATCTCATCAACATGCAGAGAAAAAGAAGAAGACGAGCAAGGATTTGCGCAGGTGTGATGCAGATGTGGAAGAAAGACAAAATACATTGTCGACAATTGCACCACATAAATACACATCGCAGGAAAAGAGCTTTGATACTTATAACGATGCTGCTCAACGACTATTGCAGCAACAACAAGAACAACAGCAACAGGAGGAAAGGGAGGCTGAAGAGGAGGCCACGCGCGGCTCTACAAAGAGCCACCAGAAGGGGGATGCCTGTTCCACAGCAAACGAGTCTCCAGTAGTGTCTGACGCTGCAGAAAAAAGTTTTTCCCCATCACTTGGTGCCTCGTGCGGCGTGCTGGCGTCGTTGCTTGGCTCGTCGACAAGTGTCTTGAAACAGAGGAATTTGCTACCGGAGGAAGAGCAGAGTTCTTCTGCCGTCGCTGCATCGACACCGCCCCATAGGGTGAACAAACAGAAGCAGGAAGACAGAGAAACATTGCTTTCCACAGAAGAAAACGAATATCCTCTTGCCACCCACAGCTTTTTATCTCTAAGCTCCTTTATACCCGCAAAAACGGTGAAGCTGGCATCCGCGACACCAGATATGGCAAAAGTGAGTATGTCTGGAAGGAAGGGTAACGAGGGTGCACCGATGCTGTTTACACCACTTAATGTGACTCGTACACCTCCGGTACCGCGTCGTAGTTTATTAGAGCGCATTCATGAGGAAAGTGGTGATTCCACTGCATCTGAGAAGAGTCACTCCGCATCAGCTTCGCAGCGGCATGCTGACGCACATGCCACTTCACTCCCTCTCTCTCCTGGTGGCGTACCAAATGATTTTGTTGAGGAGCCTAGTGGTGAAAACGTCTCTAGAGTAAGTTTTGCCAACGCTGCGACGGGTGCAGGCTCGTTGGATTCTTTTGGGGGTGGCGGAGTGAGGATGATTGAAGAGTATGGGCTTGCCTTGAATGATTCCTTTTCCGCAGGTGCGAGTGGAGGGACCCTTGACGCTCACAAGAATACATCTTCGTCTGCCATGCTTCCAAGAACTAACGCACTGTATCATTTGCGAGACTGGAATGAGGCCTATTGAAATGGATAGTCAGCATTTATATATATATATATATATATATGCGCATAGTAGGTGTGTGGTTGTGTGTCTCTATGCCAAGTGAGGGAGCAGTTTAAGGCCTTGTTTTCTTCCAACGTCTGAAACTCAGTGCTTAATCTCAATATCATCCCTACTTTTTATTTTTATTTTGAAGCCCCTCTCATTGCTGCTGCGTGGGACTTCATAGCGAACAGCTCTGCCCACACTTATTTTTGTTTTTGTTTGATATCGTAAGACAGTACTGTGAGTGTCTGGGCACCTGACTACTGCATGGGGAATGTGCGCCGCGTTTAGGACATTGTGCGAGGAGTTAACGCGTTTGCAGGTGCGCATGCTTCAACGCGACGGGAATCCCTCGCACCTCGTGATGGAGGCGACAAAAATGATTCGAAGTCGTCGCCATAACATTGAAATACAACGACACAACCTACCGTATGTTTCCGTTTTTCTGAAAAGTTGTGCCACACTGCTTGCACGTGCCGACACGCACTCCGTGCACTAAGCTTTGGAGACCGTCAGGAAGCTTGCTGAGGCCTATGGTGAGGGCAATCACGGCGACGTGAACGACTCTGCCTCTGTACTCCAGTCATTGGTCTTGTTCGCTCGTCATCATGCGAGTGACACGAAGCTGTCTCACAACGCTGGGCTTTCATCATCATCTTAAAAGTCTTTACTGGTCCTATCCCTAGAAAACACCTTACAGAAGTAGAAACTACAGCAAATATGACCGCATACCTCGACGCTTCTGGCGCTGCTTCGTGGGACAGACGCCGTCTACGGTGAGAGTTTTCACTTTACGCCGGTGAGTGCCGATATGATGGGATTATTGCCCATAAAAAGTAAGATTCAAATGGAGGCAAAGCTACATAAATGCCCATCCACGAGACATATTCTAAACTCCTTGCGTGAGATGCAGCTATCAAAACTGGATGCTGGGATTTGTTTGAGTTGCCTTGCAGAGATAGGGTTGTACGATGCTGAGTTATGCAACGTCTGCTGTGAAGTACTTTTTTCTACCCACGCACTCGTGACCTGTCAGCAGTTTGCAGAGGTCATCTATAGCTTTGGGGGTCCTGCAGCACCGGCATATTCATCAGAAGTTTTTTTCCAGTATGATGGACTTCAAGAAGTGTAACGCAACAGCGTTACGGAAACATGCAATGGGCCTTGCCATGCTTCAGCAGCCTCCACCTAGCGAACGTGCTCTCATGGATGGTGCCTTTCTACACGCGTTACGTCCTACCGATACGTTAGAATACAGCTCCTCGCCAGAGGAGGAATTGTCTTCAGCGTGGTTTGTCTCCATCGGTCGTGCGTTGTCATGTCTGGGGATTATACACTACAAGTACCGTCTGATGCTGGCACAAACGGTGCGAAGAGACATTGTGCAACTAACGACGCAACAGCGATGCCAATTGTTGTACGCTTTGGGAGGGGCGTCAATGGGGTCTGTTCTAAAGGAGCTCCGACAGTCATGGAAAAACAAGGTGGAACGAACCGTTGCGGTGGTAACAGATCGATTGCGTTACAATGTTAACCCTTCTGATGGACCGTTTGTGATGAATGCGCTTCTCTATGCGGGCGCCCGTGAGCACCCCATGATTCCGCACCAACCTGATCTGGCTTCAGGCGAGAATCCGGTGGAGGTCTTTCTGCGCACTTGGTCCATGTGCCCCAAGGAAAGTGTGCTCCATCTGACGGAGCAGATACGACCGAGCCACTTGGGCGGCGAACCAACGGCAAAGTTGTCTCATGTGTTTGCTGTCATTGCAAAGAACTGCAGTGCTTCACCTTTTAACTCCTATCGATTCGGTCCGTTATATGATGCAGTTCGTAGTCACGGTGGTGACATAAGTATAGAGGAAGCATTGGGCACCATTAGGTGCCCTTCAACACATCGGCATTGGAAGACGCTATCGTGAGACGTTGGTGGTGTTGCTGGATAATCTATGGCAGCAGCATCATTGTATAACGCCTGAACAGCAATCACGATGTTGCCGTCTTTTGGAACGTTTGGGCCACTTGGATACTGCGGTGGAGTTGCTTGAGTACATGACTGCGCTGTAGGCGCATCACAGTTCGTGCAGCGAAAATGGGAGTGGATGGCAGCATGCGAAATTCCTCCGGAGACAAACTTCATACTGAACAAAGAGATGAGGAAGTGGGGAAATAACAAAAAGGACGACTAAATCATTGCGGTGGTTATTGAGTCTTTACAGAGCTCGTCATTATTAGTGTTATTTGTTTGGTGATGTGGTTGTTTTCTTCTTCTTGGTTGCCAACCACTTGCCCTCCACACAGGTATATGTGCCCAGGACTGTTTGCGTGAGGTATGACGTTTTTTTTAATTTTGTGCTTTTGTTCTGTGTGATTGTTTTCCCTTTTTTTTTATTTTTTTAGTTTACTCCTTCATTCGTCACGTTGCTTGGCGCCGCCCTGCGCGTGGTGTCTCTCTGGTGGAGTGCAGAAACAGTGGGGCGAGGAAAACGGCGACGTGCGTGTGTGCCGCTGAACAGGAAGAGGAAGAAAAGGAGAGTGGTGGCAGAGACGAGTGACAGCGATGGGGAAACGCACGAAGAAGATGCCAAAGCAGAAGCGTAAGCTTGCAATGGCGGACCGCCCGAGGAAGTTAACTAAAAAAGGCAAACTGAAGCAGAAGCGAGGTGACCTCAAGATGGTGAAGAGCCGTGATGTTGCCTTCGCCGTGCGGCAGAAGAAAGGCGGGGCGTGGGTGAAGGCGGGGGAGCGTCGCTGCAACATACATACCGTGTGCGACTGCGTCAACCGCACCGACCCTGCCAAAATGAGGCGTGTAACGAACCGGTAAAACGCACATGCCCGTGGGATTGTACGGTCGTCGTCCGTCTGCATTGCGTGATGAGAATTCCACCTGCGGAAGCACGGTGAACGCGTTGGATAACCGTATCAGACTGCAGGAAAATGTGGCGCTTTTGGATGGAAAAGTCTTCAATGAGGAAAGTGAGTTCAACGCTCACATCGCTTGAAAAAGCAAACAAAAAAAAGAAAGGAGCATAATACTCGTTGCCTCTACGTTTTTGTTGGCAAATGAAGAGTCCGTGAAAGACGTCTTGTGTAGTGTGGTGCCGAGTTTTCATTGTGCAGCTGCTCTGCTATTAGTTTCTATGGTCCATCCTTTTTTTTTCTTTTTTGCTTTGGTTTTACGTTTTTCTTCTTGCGGTGGCGCCACATGCAAATGATGGGCTTCCCAATCTCGTAGGTGTTGGTGGTGTAAGGTAAGGCAGCCACCAGGGAGAGAAGCAACGTCAAACACGAGAATAAGGGAGGCGACTGACGAGTTTTTTAAAATTATTATTGTGCTCTCTTTTTCTCTCCCTCGCAAGAAGCAGCGGCATAGAGATTTTCTGATTTTGAGCTTAAATAAACGTCGGGTTTTTTTTGGGGGTGGTGGTGGTGGTGGTGGAGACAATGTTACGTGTGGGTAAAGGCTGCGGCAACAGCTCACTGCATGAGGCCCTGTTTAAAAGCATCATGGAGGCGAGCAATGGGGAGCATACGGGCTCCGCTGGCGACGTGTTGGCGTTGTCGCAGTTGGAGACTCTTGCTGACATGATAGGTGTTTCATTAGATGACAGTTCCATGTATCGTCTCGCTTGGAGCTGGTCCTGCCAGAGACCGCTTGTTATTACAAAGGCTGAGTTTATGAAGGGCATGAAAATGCTAGAGGCGTCCCCAAAAAGAACGAAACCAAACTTAGTTACCCATAACTTTTCAATAAAGGCACCAAGGCCGGAGTTTGGGCCGTGCCTTGCTTTGATACGGTCTCATGTGGACGAAATGGATGAGTTGCTACATAGGGACTCTCAACAATTCAGACAATTCTACCGCTTCATATTTGGATGGGTGCGGTCGCCCGAGACCACGGCCAGGGGTGTAGGCGAAGTGGGGATGAATGTGGAGACAGCTGTGGAGTTATGGCGGATGCTGTTTCCTGAATATAAAACTTTTCTACATCTGGAGGATTGGATATCATTTTGTACAAATGAGGAACTCTTTCAACGTGGCGCCATTAGTCGCGATCTTTGGGAACAGCTCTTGGAGTTTACATCTTTAACTCGCTATGACGCTTACGACGTTAATGATGCGTGGCCAAGCGTCATTGACGACTTTGTAGAACATTACAAGGCCCAACGCCAGCTCACTGAGGGAGAGAGTTGAAACCACCGTTATTATTATTAGTTTCTTTTTTTTTTTGGTTTTAAGGTGGTAGAAACATGGATATGCCTGAGTATTATGTTTGTATGCGTGACGCTGAGGTTTAGCTTTCAGTAAGTGATGAGGTTTAACACTGTTGCGTGAGAATGGCGGAGCCACCCTCTGTAGTCTCCTTAAACCCCCAAATAAATGGGGGCAACACGAAAAGGGAAGAAGGCCGTATCACTCAGTTTGGCAGGAGTGGGGCTGCCCCTCCGACAACGTGTTTTTTTTTCTGTTTTCCTTTTTACGGCGGCGTGGTGGCTCCCTTATTTGATCTTGTTGTTGCGCATGTGTGTATTTCCTTGAAGGCTTCTGTCGCACAGGTGTGCATTATGAACTTAGTTGGGAACACTGTTTTTCTTGTTGTTTCCGAGAATTATCTCCAAAGAAATTCCTTTTTTTTTTATTGTCGTTGATCCTCAAGAAAGTGATGACCTCTGTGCGAAGAGGAAACGAACAAACAAAGAAGAGTTGTGCTTTTATGCAACCTGTGTGTGCGTCATGTTTTGCTTCTGTATTGTCTCTTGGATTCAACGCCGACGGGTGAAGCACGCCGCAGCCGGAATGAATGCACATGCAATTTCTGAGCTGCCGTAGTAAAAGTGGACTGTGATTCACTTATTTTCCACCCACCCCTCCTTCCTTTTCAGTGTTGCTTTCTCTTGCCCTCTTTTACTTCTTCCACGTGTGTTGTGTGTGGTGTTCTCATTGCTCGCAGTGTGAAGGTGGAAGCTGACGACGCTGCTGCTGCTGCTGCTGCTGGTGAGGGGTGCGGGTTCCAATTCTCGGTGGCAGATGCAGCAGGAGCACTTGTGTTGCGACGAGGAAAATCCTCCGCGTGCCTCCTCCTCTTCCACGTTGCAGGGCGAGCGTCGGTGTTCACATAGTGACGAAGGCGATGGCGGGGCTCCTTCGGAGGGTGGGCGACGGACACTCACGCAGTTTAGTTTTTTCCGCTGGGGTAAGGCGCCGTCAGTGTCCGACTCAGGGGGGCATCACAACGGCGCCAGCGACGAGAGAGGCGGCAAAGACAGCGGTAGCAATGACAGCAGCACTGCCAAGGCGGTGGTGTACGGCTGTGTGGGGATGCTTGGGGAGTCTGGCAGTGGGCTTACATCTCTTGCTGCTGCCGCCGCAAAAGTGGCGTCTCGTTGCGGTTCTGCGTTTGACTTTCACTCCTTTAGCTCGGGCTCCTGTGTGACGTACATTTATCGACCGTCAGTGTCAAAGCTAAAGGAGTGTTTGCAGGTGAGTGTTGTTGACAGTGGGACTGTGCCACTTCGCGGTGGCATGGCTACTCGCGTGTTACCACGTTGTGACACTGTCATCATCACCTTTGCCCTGACAGGTATCAAACAAAGGCACTCTGACGCAAAGAACATATTTGCCTTCATGGGGAAACACGGAGGGGGCAACGAGAGTTCATCTCTGGTTCTCGTACATTCAGGGGACCGAACGATACTGCATGATGTGTTTGCGATGATTGCAGCACGAGTCTCTCCTAGGGGGCGATGCCCAAATATTATTTTGGTGGGCACCCATAAGGATTTATTAACGGATCAGTCCACAGGTGCCATGGACCTTCTTTTTAAAGAACTTCGGTCTATTTGTACGAGCATATTGGCATCATTCCAACAACCGCTCTTGTTGCACTCGTTATTTGCGGTGAGTACGCTGGATGGTTCTTGTGCAGCTGAGAACAGAGGGGGCCCTACCACAGTGTCAGGATTGTGGAACTTTATTTGCGATGCCACACTGAAAGATCTTGTCTCCCGTCATTCGCGGAGGGCAACTCTTCAGGTTCCACACAACAAGCCCTTTTGGCACGTGTTCCGTTTCTCGTCCTTTGCAACGGCCCCTCCACATACATGTAGTTTGCAGGATGCAGAAGTGTCTTCCGGTCGGAAGGATACGCATGACAATAACGATGAGGATGGCGATAATCCTTCTTCCTCTTGTTCGTTGGTGCATGCACCCATGCATATGTGTAGTGGTGCTGTCAGCGCCATACTAATTCGTTTTATTGCCAGCGCCAAGGCGAATAATAACGTTATATTTATTTACCGTAGCACCTTTAGGAGACTTTTGTATTCCTCGGCGATGATCAGTAAAAAAGAAGTAACGTTTATTCTGGAGCAGCTGCAACTGGCTGGGGAGATTGTTTTGTTTCGGTATCCTTCAGAGGTGGTGCCATCACGCGATGTGTGCATTTGCCTTCATCCGCAATTTATTCAACGGGCCCAGGCAACGGTGTTCCTATACGCCAACTACGCCAACAATCGTTCAGTGACACATGGGAAACTACTCAAGGATGTTAACTTGGAGCGGTGTGGAGAGTGCGACCCGAACCATGATGTCTCACGCGGCATCTTCCCATATCTTTTGTTGCTGGAGCTTTCTCCGAGACTCAAGATTCCCCGCCCCTTAAAGGAAATGGAAATATTTGCGATGCTGCTTTTGCTTTCGGGCACGGCCTTTCTTCGTCCCTCCCCTGTAGCGAGATTAACGAATAAGAGAGACACATCCACGAGTCACATGACGACAACCGAAGAGAGATCGGATACTGCGGTAAGCAGTGCAAGTGGTTGTTACTCACTTTCCCGTACGACGATAGGTTCGCCTGGGAACAAGAGTTCAGAGAGTGAATCAGAGACAGTACCAGCGGATTGTCTTGGGCCACTGCCGCCGCAACATCGGCTGGTGGAATATGTTATTCCCAGCTTGATTTCCATGCGATGCCCCGATGAACTGCTTGAATGCGTGCGGTATTTCTCTGCCAAGGCAAGTAAGGTAACTGCTGAACAAGAGAGTTTGACGATGTCACGTGTGGTGGTGCTGCGTCACTGCCCACCAGATTTTTTTCCTATGCTCACGAGTCGCCTGCATCGTTACATGGTTCCAAATGTTCCCGTTTTTTCTGAGACTCTTTGGTTGGGCGGTTTAGCGTCTGCAGGACAAACTCATCACCTCTTGCGCATGTGTATTTGCCACAGAGGCCCAGAATCCGCTGCCGCACCAGCGGAGGCAGGATACCCAAATTGTGGGATATCGTTTCTTGAGTTTCACGCCCATTCGGATGTGGGGCTTTTGCCGCTGTTGTTGTTTCTGGATGATATTACTCATAAAGTGTCAACCTTAATTGCACACGAGTTCCCTGGAATGTTCACGCAGGCGCTACCAACTACCACCCCCCTGAGCGAGAAGGTGTGGCGCGGTAGTTGTTTGCCTGCATCTCTCGTGGCGAGAAGCGGGATTGCGTCTTTTACTGACATGACGCCGTTGGAGAAGTTGGATGCACTCTTTCATTCACTCGAGCCTCCCATCTCTGGACCTCTGCATCCCTGACTCATGACAATATAAATATACACATATATGCGTATACATGCATCTATATCCCTCATATCGTCGTTGTGGTGAAACTTGATTCTCACTCTGTCTTCTCCTCCCTCGTTCTTCGTACGCAATACAACAGCTCTCTATACTTTACTGCGGATGCGTCTATGTTTATTATTATTATTATTATTTGTTTTCTTTTTCTTCTTCTTTGCTTGTGTCGTCCGTCTCTTTGGGTTTTCTCTCCTCCTGCCGCTTGCGTCGCTGTAATTTTTTACTTCCTGCCACTGCTGCTAGAGCCTGCGGGAACCTTGATGTCGAGGACGCTGAAGGAGCGATTTCCCGACCCTGATGCCGCCGTGTGCAGCACATTCTTCCGAACCACCGATGTGTGTGACAAGACGTGGTGTGACATGGCCCTCATTGCGGAGTCGGACGATCACACCTTTTGGACGGTCATTGCAAACCACAAGAGTCTGACACTTACGCTGCGAAACCTCATCACTGTTGTGGATAATGCCCACAGCTCTGCCTTTCGTCGTCAGCTGCAGCGAAGTGATGAGCTTTCCCTGATTACTTTTCTTGTTCGGTTGGTGACTACCACCTCCGTTGTTTCATCTGCTGGCGTGAGCGTGGCAAGTGTGGCGAGTTGCCTTGAACAACTTATTCCACCTGCCTTATTGATGCCTCTTTCATTGATCATCCTGCGTCACTGCGGATCGGTTGCGTCTGCAACGGTTACAACACTCATTCTTCTTAATCCCTCCTATTTATGCACAATGCCTGTCACAGCATCCTCGTGGTGTGACGCAACCGCTCGTCTGTCAGTTCAGTGCGTGAAGGAAGTTGCGAGAGGTAGACATCAACGACTTGCTGGGGACGTGGTTCTACTCTTTGAACAAGTATACCGTCATGTAAAACAATTATGGGCTCTCGTGCACTGTGCCCCTTTTCTTGCGGATTACATGCCGTTATCACGCCTGCTACAATATTTACGGGTCGTGGTGGATTTACTCTCACCTCTGCTGCAACATTTTCTCTTAACTTGCACGGCACTCTCCAACCGTCGTGAACAGCTTTCCAAGGCGAATTCGGCTATCGTTAATGCTGCTGTAAATGTTGCCTCGATACTTGTCTTGTTCCGTACATATCACAAGGTGGAGAGTCATGATAGGTGCCACTGTGTAGAGCGTATTGTTGCACCTACCTACGATGCCCTCACAAGTCATATTACACGGAAGGTACAGGGACTTCCCAGCGTGTTGCTCTCTGACACAAGACGATGTTTCACAAGAACTCTGCATGAACTTGTGCCTCCGCAAACAGCTGCGCAAGATTTGGAGGTAGGGAAAGTATTACGTCATTTAAGTGAACCAGTTCCAGACAGTAAAGACTTTTCAAATGGATTTCTGGGGGCTCGTCCTCGCTATTTTGAATTACTACTGCTGGAGTTGGTACACCAAGGGTTTCACATTGATGTGTTATTGGAGAAAAAATTTATCACTTTATTGGAGGCGGAGGAGCTTGGGGCCTCGGAGCGGGTTATCACGCAAACCATTGCCGGTATCATTGACAAGGCCACAGGCGATGCTGCAATGACGACAAGCGGGGGAGGCAACTATCACAGTACGGGACTTTCGACTGTCGAAGAATCAGCATCTGCTTCATCAGATCCGTTGATAAGCATAGTGTTGGGCGTCATGCCCCACTTTAATGTGGATGGTATTAAAGCTGCCTTGCATTATTACAACGGAGACGTGGAACAGTTTATTCTGGATGCCTCCATGGATAACGTAGCTCCGCACTTGCTTGCGCAACTCACTGAACCCTCACCCTCCAATGTTGTGGGGGAAGTCGCTCAAGTGACAGCCTGGACCCCCGAAATTAATGCAAACACCACCGGAGTCTCCACTTCCACAGTCGCAAATACACTTACGGTGGAAGATTACGACAACGATTTTGATGTGGTGGATTTGAATTTATTTATTGGCTCTGATTTGTATGAGGCCATCAACGGTGGAGACGGCACTGGCGCTGCTGAGGATCCTTCGTGCGATCTTGTTTACACCACGTACCGTTCTAACGACCATCGTGGGGCTGCGGAAATGTTTGAGGTGGACGAAGCTATGCGGGAGAAAATTCGCATGTTGGCCGAATTAATGTACGAGGATGAATTTGACGACACCCAGGAGGTCGCAGAGGTTTGTGCCTATGAGGCTTGTCAGGGCGCGAACGATTCGGACTCGGCGGCCTCAAACAGCGACGTCGATATGATCCACAACCTCAAGAGCAACTTGTCGGAGGGAGGCGAAATAGCCACTAGTGCATCACGTCGCCCCAGAACGCAATACGATGAAAAACGGTTTCATGAGGCTCGCTCTAAACGCGAAAAAAGCGGACGGGCAGCGGAGGCGCGGGAGGCAGTACCAGCATACACCCAGAAGAAGAAGACCACACGCAAAAAGACGCAGGATAAGGGAGCCTTAACACGTCAGGTGAAGAAGGGCAAATTTAACTGATGATGTTGTTGTGACGTCAGCCATGCCTTGGTCATGAACTCTTGTTGTTGTTGTTTGTTTGTCTGTTTTTTTTTTTTTGCTCATTCTTCGTTCTGTTTTGGGTGTGGATGTCTTCCGTGTTGTCGTTGTCCGCATTTCTTTCACACTGTTTCTCACTACTGGGAGGCGGTGGAGGTTGGCTGCTTTCATGCAGGTGTGCTTGGTATCCTCTGACTGTTCTCCGTTTTTTTTTTTTTGGATTCGTCGTCTCGTCTTGGCCATGTAATGTGTAAGTGAGGAATCATGTGGCATCGTCTTCGGGTCCAGGTGCTGGGTTCAACGGCGGTGCGGGCAGAGGCGCCGCGGCTGACCTCGAGCATAGCCCTGATGGAGCAGAAGGCAGGGCTTCGGAATCTGCACCAGTACCCCACAGCTCGGCACAAAAGCTTGGTAAAAGACCGCATCCGCTTTGCACGGAACTGGTGGTTAACGGGGGGGAACAACTACGAGTTGGTGCACGAAGAGGGCCATGAGCGAGAGGCCACGGAGTGCTTCGCGGAGTACGCCCAGGATTCAGGCAATGACGTTTACCTTTTCTCGACTAACAGGCTGAGTGATCTGCCGCCACGAGAGCGACTTAACGCTATTGTTGGCCTCATGAGTGCTCGTTGGAAGGTCAATGATGGCAACCGTGGCTTTGACAAGGCGAAGCTGCTTCTTCAGGCCCTGGAGTGCTTTAGTGAGATGCGTCTCTCTGGGCAAATTAAAGAATATGAGGAGCTCCCAGAACCCGATCAAGACACGTTTTTGCAGTACGTTGAGGGCTGCTCTCGGTTTGCGCAGGCATGTGTGCATTCGCATCCCAATGCTGTTGCGATTTTGTTGCGTGTGGCCCAAATTTGTGAGGAAATGCGGTGTAGCGGGAAACGCGATGAAATGATTCATGTGGTGGAAGCGGCGGCGGATCGCATGAACCGTGTGTATGCCTTTAATCGTCCCGACGATAACTTGAAGGTAGCGCCACCGTCACTGATGGAAAATGAGGCGAGTGTTCGAAGGAAAAATTTTGAAGAGTTACAGAGGCGATATGGTGACAAGGCAACCCACGTGCTTGAGGAAAAACAACGGGCAGAGTACGTCCGCATTCACCGGAACAAACGACTCTACCTGCGCCCCATGGAGAAGGGTAGAAAGGAGATGGAGACGATGAAGCTTCCCGCGCGACCCGAGTTCGATGTGTGGACGACACCTTCTCGGTAGCGACTAGGCCCTTAATTACTTTTTTTTTCTTTTTGCAGTTTATGTCTATTTTGTTTGTTCATTGCCCCCTCTTTTATATATATTTCTCATGTGAATCTGTTTTCCTTTCCTGCTTTGCACTCTCCCTCATTTTCCGATTGATTTGCTCCCGCTTTATTTTGTTTGTTTTCTCTTTGCGAAGAACCCGGCTTTGCCCCCCTGGGCTGTGTGTGTGTGTGTGTGTGTGGGGTGGGGGAGGTAGGGGGAGGAATTTTAACGAGGGAAAGTGTTTGCCGTTGTCGCTGCCACCGATGTCGCACTATAACACTGGCATTGAGAACATTCCGTCGTTGTTTGACTTGGCGAGCGCCCTGACGGGGTTTGTTGCAGATTTTGCGCAGGTTGTTTTGGGCTCCACCCAAACATCCTTCAAGGCGGCTGCGTTAGAAGACGACGACCTCGGCAAGTATGACCCGACCGCCCGTAGTTGGGAGGGGACAGGCGGGCTGCACTACCGTGTGCCACTCTACCCCATCCCTAGTGAGCGTCACACGCGTGACAAAACAAGAAACATTCGGGTTCTCATGGATAACTGTCGCCATCTCTGCGTCAAGGACGAACTGCCCAGCACCAAGGAGGAGATGCAATTTTGGACGGCGTATCGTTTCATGAAGTATCAGATGTATCTGGCACCTATGTGTATCATCATGCCACCTCTTTACATTTTTTGGCGCATGTTTCACGATCGCATTCCACGCCCAATGCGCGGTCGGACAATTCCAATCACACTTTCGCTTGCCTTGGCAGAACAGTGGGCCGATGCAACGTATCCGGGACATCAGTTGCTGTCCACCGCCTTGAAAGCCAAGACACCGATGGGAGATGCCGCCCGCGCGGAGTGGTTGCGGCTGCAACCGATTGATATGCCCTACTACATCTACACTGCGTATCAATTCCAGCACTTTTTTGGAAATACGCCAGCGGCACTCCAATTTGGCGGAGACGCGGCCTCGCTCTGCAGTTAGGAGAAAAATTCTTTTTGTTAAGCGGGGAACTGTCATCTTGATTGTGTTTGGTTATGCCTGTGTGCATCTCTCTGCCCATATCTTTGTCCTCTTCTTTTTTGGGATCGGTGAGGGAGAGAACATGAGCGGAGTGATCGCACCAACTTTTTTTTTTTGTTGTGTTACCCCATGTTCTCTGTGAGTTTCATTGGCATTTGAGACTGTACTCGTGTCCAGCGGAGTCAGCCGCAATGTGCCTCTTTTTCCTTTTTTTTTTTTTTTTAAATTACACCGATCCCTCATGTTTGATGTGCTTTGTGAACAGTAAATGACATGTTGAGCAATGAAATGTCTCTGCTCCGCATTCTCCGCCTAAGAAATAGGCGTGACAGCCGCTCACGATTGCCAGCGCGTGACCTTCGGGAAGCGTCGGAGCAGGCTAGAGGTTTTCTACGGATGTTGTTTGGTACTGATTTCCTCTGCCTTTTGATATTTTGTTTCTACCGCGATGACTTCTCGGAACCCGTCATTTGAAGCTTGTCTTCAGAGCGCTCCACGCCAGTTTCGCTGAATTGATGAACGGCACGCATTTCTGGCTCCATGGATTGTGGGGTCGTATCGTGAGCGCCACCGAGGGTGTTGTAGGGTGCACTCCCGCTTTGAGAGTTTTGTGTTGACCTCCAAAATTACCTTCAACAGCCTGACCTTGCTGGTGGTGAGGATGCAGTTAATGCCGCTCTTAGAAATACACAAGGTGCACTGTAAGAAGTCTTACTTGCCGTTTTCTGGGCGGTTGAAGGTTGAGAAAACACCCGCTACAGACACCTTACATGGGGTGCAACGAGATGTGATGTGGTGCAAAATGTCAAAGTAACCTTTCCACTCCTAACGCAATCGTGCCTGTGGCTTAGACATGATGAAAAAGATAAGTGGGAATTTCGCGTAAAAAGGGGCTGTTGCCCGTCCACAAGCATGGTTTGTTTTGACCTTTTGGTTTTGTTTGCGAGAGACGTGCAGGAGGACGTAAACTCCGTTCCGTCTATGTGCTTTGTAGCTGTTGGGCCCGGGGCGGGAGGGGGGGGGGGAGATGCCGCACCGAATCAAGGCATCGCCATCAAACACCTTGAGCAGCTGCTGGAGTGTCATTGGGTTAAATTTTTGGTTTTTACCGGCGACAATTCTTATCCGTCCAAGGCTTAGCTGTTGTTGTGATCCGGCGTGGGTCACAATGTTTGAAAAAACCGCTTTCAAATGAGGTGTTTCGTGCATTGCCGTTTGTCATCTCTGCCGGGAACCATGATTTGCGGGGAGAACTGTCCGTACAGATGGGCTGTGAGGAAAGGAACGTCCAATGGTACTTTCCGGCACCGCATTACGACGTCGCCATTCCTCTCATTCCGGCCTGTCCCGATGCAACGCTAGCTAATGAGATGGTAGTGCTGATGGACGATTCAACTGCACCGTTTGCCGCGGGCCTGCTGAATGCGTATGTTCTGAATGGTTACATGGACGGCTTTTGGAAGCGGCAGATGGCAGACTGCAACAATATATATATATTGCATGTCTGTCGTTGTTTCTTGTATCCAAATGGACCTACACAACGGGGTGGAAATTGTGATGCTCCGTTGGATTTTTAATATGTCGTCTATGGTTGATGCACCTGTAGACTGCACGATGTTGTTGTTTTTTATTACTTTTATTTCTTTGCTCTTTTTGTCTGTCTGTCGGCCTCTCTGTCTGTCTGTGTTTATGTTTGTGCTAGTGGGTGCATTTTGACAGCCGCCTAGCTGATTATTATTGTTATTTTAATCTTGCTATATACATTTTGTTTTTTTTGTGTGTATCCATTTGTATGTATATGTTGTGTTATGTGGCAATTTTGTTGTTTATGGAGACAAGCAAGCGGGTGAGGGACAACGGCGGGAGCGACGCGGAGTTTTCGTGGTGGAATCCCTGTTTTGATTTTGTCCAAGCGGTAGGGGAAGGCGGAAGACATGCCAAAGCACCAACCGACTGCTGTGCACCTGCCGGTGGAGGAGGCACGTGGGGCTATCATTCGCATGATTCGGCGCCACAGTGCAGTGGTTATTGTGGGTGAAACGGGATCTGGAAAGACAACCCGGATACCCCAGTACGTGTGGGATGACTTGATCTCCCAGGAGCCACCAGGCAAAGCAGGGTGTTGTGGGGTGCACACAGCCGCGTCGTGTGGCGGCGGTTAGTATAGCTCGCCATGTGGCAGAACAGCGCGGGGGACGCGTGGGCGCCGAGGTGGCGTATGCTGTACGCTTTGATGATACATGCAGCAGCCAAACTCGCATCAAATACATGACGGATGGCATTCTCCTTCGTGAGATTCAGGCGGACCCGGAGCTTTCACACTATCGCTGTTTGCTGCTTGACGAGGCTCACGAGCGAACGCTTCACGGCGACGTACTTTTTGGCCTTTTAAAGGACATCGTTAGGAAGAGGAAAAAACCCTTGAATATTGTTGTCATGTCAGCCACACTGAACGCAGAGCACTTCTCTAAGTTTTGGTGGAATGCCCCCATCGGTGTCGTTCATGGTCGGTCATACCCTGTCACTATTTTCCACACGGTGGAGCCCCAAGCAGACTACGTTGAGGCCGCCGTGAGCACAATTCTGCAAATTCACGAAAAGGAAGAAGCTGGGGATGTGTTGTGTTTTCTAACTGGGCAAGAAGAAATTGAGGATGCCAAGCGTATCCTGGAACGACGAATGAAGCTGATGCCGAGCACCCTTCAAGACCTTGTGGTACTGACGCTTTATTCTGCTATGCCCTACGAACAACAACTACGTGTCTTTGAGCCGCCGCTACCGGGCAAACGCAGGGTAATTGTGGCAACAAACATTGCAGAGACGTCCATTACTGTGGAGGGTATTAAGTACGTCGTGGACAGTGGGGTAGTGAAGGCAAAGTACTTCAGCAGCAAAACTGGGATGGAGTTGCTGTCTGAAGTAGACGTTAGTAAAGCTCAAGCGACACAGCGTACAGGACGAGCCGGACGTATGACGGCTGGCAAGTGCTTCCGTCTCTACACCGCGCAGGCGTTTGAGTCGTTGGCGGAAAATACCGTGCCTGAGATTCAACGGAGCTCACTCATCAGTGTCGTACTGCAAATGAAGAGCCTCCGAATCGACCGCATTATGGACTTTGAATTTATGGATGCCCCAGACCCCAAGGCCGTGGTGAAAGCAGAAGAGACCTTGATGCTTCTTGGTGCATTGGATCGTCACGGTCACATCACTCGTCTTGGACAACGCCTGGTTGATTTTCCCATTGAGCCCATAGCTGCCATAGTGTTATTGGCAGGGAAAGCTTTGGGCATCGAGCGCGACGCCACAATTGCTGTTGCCATGACATGCACGGAGAATCTTTTTGTTACCTCTCGTGAGGCGAAGGATGGAGCTGATCGATGCAAGGCTGCCTTTGCCAGGTCCGCAGGTGATCATGCGACGCTGCTTAGCATCTATTACGCCTACAAGCGTGTCCCAAAGGAGCAACGAAAGATGTGGTGTGAGTCAAACGCGCTTAATCAGAATCAGATGCTAAAGGCGGAGGATGTCATGACACAACTAGCGGCGATTCTTAATGAACACAGTGATGAGGTACTGCTGTCAACATTTCTGCGGAGACTCCCACGTGCGGAGGATAAGGATACCGCTTTCCAGCGCAAGCGTACCCGTGACAGTGTTAATGCTGTGGTAAAGGAAGATGAGGAATCCCAACATATGAATGGACAGGCATTAAATACGGTGAAGTTACGCGATTTTGAGCTTCTTCGACGAGCGCTCTGCTACGGGCTTTCGCTTAATGCCGCTTTTTTTAACGCGAAGATTGGCAACTATCAGACGGTGATGGGCCAGCAAGTGGTGCATCTGCATCCATCATCAGTCCTTTTTGCTCAGCGCAAAAAGCCTGCACTGGTGGTTTTTAACAGCGTGGTGCGCACAACGAGGCAGTACATAAAAGATGTTTCTGTGGTGCAGGAGGAGTGGCTTCGCGACGCAGCCTCTTTTTTGAGGCCTGTACAGTGAAGGGAATGACAAGCAACCGCATCCACGTCCGGAAATGAACCAGAGAAGAGAAGAACAAAAACAGTAGCAGAAAACGATGCCTCTGCGAAGCGTAATAACTTTTCGTGTAAAAATTTGGAATGAATTGATTCCTCTCATGTTTGTTGGCATCCCGTTGTGCTGTGTATGCGGTGGAGGAAAGTGATATCGCATGACGCCACAGTGTTTTTTTTTGTTTGTTTGTTCTATGTATGTCTGTGTCTCTGTGTATGTTTCACGGTGTTTCTGTCTTTATTCGTTGGTGTCGTTTCCACCTCTCTTAGCGCGGCAGTTGTAAGCCATCATACACATACTTGTACATCTTTACTAGGGCCCAATACGTCTGGCGGGTGGTTGAAAAAAAGGTTGGATGGGTATTTAGACCTCCCGCGGGTCTGGCGTGGCTGCTCTGACGTCTGCATCTCCCTACGGTCGTGATGCGGATGCGCTGCTGAAAGACTTTGACACTACAACCCTGACTTTGGCTGTTATTGGTGCTGGTATGGTCGGGGTTCACACCGCCTACGAGCTCGCTCAACTTGGTTTCCGGGTCATCGTCTTTGAGCAGTGTCGCGCAATTGGTTTGGGAGCAACACAGTATGCCTTCCCGTTTGTGGGAGTCGGTCTTCTGCAGCCGTACATTCACACGATAAGAATGGGGCGGAAATTGTTGCGCGGGACGTTGGCAGTAATCTGTCCGGACATTATTTCCGCGGAGGATTCATGGAATTCTTTTTTTTTTTTCGGCTGCTATCCACCGCTGGTTATGGGCACGTCGCTGGAATACACTCACGGAGGCCCAGGTGATGTAATACACGAACAATTTGTCAAGGTTGAGCGTTGGCGTTGTGGAGGATCTCGTATGTAGACACCGGAGCCTGTCGCCGTATATTTTAAGTCGCAATGTCTCGGTGGGCATATTCGACCCAACAGCAGGTGACGCTGGGGGAGTAAACATTGTTCCTACAGCGCATTTGAAACTGTTACTGATTGACCCGGTCGGTTGGACGCCTGAGTTGGCGCGGATTGCGCAAACGCAGTACGGTGTGAAATTTGTCCTCAGTGAGAGGCTGGTCGACAGTACCAACCACCTCTGTTACGGCTCGGGTATGATGTTGACGTTGCGTTTTGCCAGTGAGACTAATGGTCACACGAAATTCAACAACCGTCGTTTTGATGTTGTTGTGCTCACTGCAGGGGCGCACCCGGGTCCGTTAACGTGTGGTTCCTCGCAACTCCCCATTATCGGCTTAAGCAGGTGCTATGTCGCGTTCACGGCGAATTCTGGCGCTGTGGCATCCACCCCGCTTGCAGACGCGCTAGAGCGCGTTGCGCCAGGCATGGTTGCGTTGTCCTCCAGCGGTAATCTTGTGGCATACAAAGTCTCCGATGGAGGTGGCGCTGAAAGCATTGCGGAGGATCGTTTTATTGTGCAAGGCTTGATGTCATTTGACTCCACAAGCAAGTCAGTAGTCAATGTTGTAGGAATGTTAAAGCGTCTAGAAAAGTACCTTCGTGTGAGGTGTGGTCTTGATATCTCACTTTTGCCAGAGTATCAGAAACAACGACTCCAGCGTGACGGTGTGGCGGAAGGAGCAGCTCAGCCAAATCATATGACAGTCACGAGGTATATTCGTTCATATACTCCAGACGGTGTGCCGCTGATAGCGAATAACGGGGCGGCGTTTAACTGCTTTGTTTGCACTGGTTTTGGCGACCATGTCGCGGACATGGCACTTGGTTCGGCGAAGATCTTGGCGAAACTTATTGGCTCGCAGGCGTCTGTGATGTTGCAATGCGACGAGGAGGAAATACAGCACTGTGGCAAACACATTGAACCTGTGATGACGGAAAGACGTATTGTTTAACTCCAGGAGGAGTTGCAGACGTTGTGGAACGATTGGTTGGTCACCGCAGATCTTCCGCCTGGGCAAGAAGTGATGACATTTAGGCAAAATCCTTTTTCGGCGTCTCGCTTTGGTGGGGTTATGAGGGACAAGGACCCTGAAGTGACACGCACGTCCTTTTTGTACCGTTTGTCAAATACAGAAACGGCCTTTGTGCGCGCGGCTGAGCCATGGGGGCATTACCTAAATAAATAGGCCATTAAGCTGACGTGCCACGACAATATGCCGGATTGGCTACGAACGATTGTCTACTACCACTTCAATGATGAAGAGGACGACGAGGAGCTGCGGCGATCCAGGCAGAAATACGCGGAAGGCATGCGACGCATTCGGGAGAAGTTTGAGGACAAAGCCCAAAACCGGCTGTCATATTTGGTGTGATGGGGGACGACACGCTGAAAAGAAGGATGACACTCGTGTGGTGGGAGGAACCATTGGTACGTGCGCTGAAGTGTGATTTTTTTCTCTCTTTAGGGATGAAAAGAGTTGCAGCCGGCGCGGCAATGATGCGTGGCACGTCCGTCTGTTCAGTGGGTGCACATCTACCGTTTTTTTTTTGTATTTGTCCTTTTTGGACTGATTTTATTATTATTATTGCCCTTGTGGTTATTGTCCCTCGCTGTGCGCAGTGTTGATGTTTGTCTCCCTGCACATACTGCACACTTTTCCCCTTTGATTGTGTTGTTGTTGTTGTTGCGTTTCTTGCCTCGTCTTGTGAATGGACGAGATCGTTGTGGCAGGTGAAACCATTTCGGGATCCAATTGGGGGTGGTAAACGCTGTTCACTGAGCGAGCGTGAGAAATCGAGGCGACCAAAAAAAAAAAGGAACCGCGTACACGTAAAAAAAAAACAACAGCGAATGCGAAAAGATCATCAAATGCGTACGTTCATAATCACTGTTTGCATCCTGGTGGTACTGCTATTTTCCAGCGCAGTCGCTGCAAAGAAGGAAAAACCGCTGCATATCCCCTTTCCGAAGGATGCCGTTGATGGCATCAGCTGCGGTGTTTGCACCTTTGTGGTAAAGCAGGTGTACAGGGATGTGCTGGTACTTTTCAACGCCAGCATTCGAAGACGCGTGCGAATGAGCGAAGATGACGTGCTGACGGCGCTGGAGGATGTGTGCAACCCCTTTGCGGAGACTGGCCAGTGGATACGTCGAATTACAATTACTCACAAACGCGAGACAGCCCCTTTTTTGGGTGTAGAGGAATTGCAAGTATATACCAAGTGCAAGCGCACGTGCAGCACTGTGGTGGAGGCCTGTGAAGGGGTACTTGATCACGAAAGCATGGATATGCTTTCACCTCGACTCTTACACCTCACTGAATACGCCGATGCAGATAAGTTTGCGGAAGCTCTATGCGATCGCTCACCGATTTGTACAAAACGGTGGGGCCTAACCGCAAGCAGATATGATGAACTCACCACTATGATTGATGAGGACACTATGGAGGAGATCGACCCCAAAGAGATGGAGGTTGAACGGATGATGGATCATATGGAGCGGAAGGAGAATCGGCGGCACAGCATTTTTTATCGTGATGAAATTGTGAAGATGCAGGAAGCTATTCTGAGGGGTGACAAGGAGGCGGTGGCAAAGGTGGACCCCTCCATTGCGGATCTTTCCGAAGAGGAATTCGCAGCCGTGCAGGCGATGGTGCGGGGAAAGAATAACGAGAAGCTCCGGTCTGGGACGCATAGAGCGGACGACGAGGGGAAGGCGAGAGACACCCAACGGCGGAAACACCGTGAAAGTGATGGCGGTGAGGGCGATTTGGAAAACTTTGAGCTAGAGCAAGAAGACCTTTGAAGACACGGCATTTTTTCGGTGGCGGGACGCCAAGCCACTGCTGGGAATAAAGGAGATAGAAAGAAGGACTTATTTTCTCGGGTCTCAATTGTGCGAGGGCCCGACGATTGTTTTTTTTTTTGCAATTCTTTCTGTTTCCTCGTTTTGCTGCTTATGTGGGTTTGGCTCTTTTTTTAGTTTTTAGTTGTTTTTTTTAGTTTTTGGTTTTTTCGTTTGCTTGGATTCTGCTTCACTCTGTTTCTTTCTTTGAAGTTTCTGCCTTCTTTCTTGTTTGAAAAACGTGTCTGCCGATCTTTCATTTTTTTATTATTATTATTTTGGTTTGTGAGTGTTTTTTTTTTAATTATCTGTTCCCGTTGCCTGCTTTCCTTCTTGCGCTTGCCACACCTCTGGACTTGGGGGCAGGAAGTGTGACGAGGCACATTGTGAAAAGGGAGGTGAGAAGAGGTCCAAGAGAGGTGTGGGGTGTCGGTGTTAGCAACATGTCCTTGCTTACTGGATGGATAGACGATGCTAGGCGAAGTTATGTCGCTTACGGAGTAGATCTCATTCGGACGGGATGTTTTCTTCTTCGCACCACACCGTCAGTGACGTACAGAGCCGCTGTCTTGTTTCAGCGCTTTCAGGCGGTCGTAGAGAAGGTTCGGCGTAAGCGCGGGGACTACCAAGAAGAATATGGCCTCACAGAAGGAGGCAACCCTCATGAATTGGCATCTGGTACACGAAAACCGTCCTACACAGTGCCAATGCACGTTGGGACAGAACGCCCTTCTGGGGTGCTTGCGTTCGGGGATCCATACGCTCCGCTGGATTACTGCTTGTTCAACTTGCATGAGCACGATGATATCACGTATCTCACCGCGGCGTGTGTTCTCATCGCGGCAAAAATGGAGGATCATTCAATGCGTATTCGTCTCATTGTGGGCGTTTTCATGCGTCTAAACCAACGCCGTCGTGGTGAGCCTGTTATTGAGCAACTTCAGCCACCACCAGAGCGTTACGATGATTTTAAGTTATGTATGCTGGAAGCTGAAGAGGTTGTGTTGCAGGCGCTTGGCTTTCAGACCTTCGTGGAGTGCCCTTTTAAGTATGCCATTCTTTTTCTTGGAATGATTATTGAAGATGACAAAGTAGGAGTTGTCACCGATGCCGGTGCGACGACGAGTAATTCCTTTTACTTCAATGGTACATTTTCCAATGTGGCCGTGAAGAGGTGGCTTGCAGACGCCGTGTGTTGGCTGAATGACATACCGCGTTGCATAGAATTATATGCTGAGGAAGCCCACGTGCTCGCGGTTTGCTCTCTCTTTTCCACGCGACCTTCGAACATTACTGGCCTGCCAGACAATTGGACGCTTGCCTTTGGCATGGAGCGAACGAAGTTAAACGCCGTGTTGCGTCTGCATCAAAGGCACCTAGAAGAGGCGGTTAACTCAGTAAACAACAATGTGCGGCTCCTCCTAGAGACGCGGCAGACGAAGCCATACTACCCAAAAGCGACGGAAGACGGCGCCGCAGGCGGTGACCCTGTTATTAGTGTGCCCGCGGCGGAGAGCAAACCCGAGGCCCCCACACCTCAGCCACCGGTACAACCAGCGGAATTAGCCCCGCCCATTCCTTCATCCGGCATAAAAATTCCATCTGCCAATCCTTTGCTAGCTGTGGCACCCGCCATAGCTCCAATTAACCGGCTGGGGTCTCTTCAGCCGGCGATTCACATCAATTTTGTTCCAGCTACCAACCCGGGTGTGGACAGTAAGGACAGCAATATCAGCGGCAGCAACAGTGTCAACAGCATCAGCCATCACAACCCAATTCACATAGATATGCCACACAACAGCATGCTACCGGGAGTGGCGTACCCATCGTTGCTGAACAACCCTTTGAGGAAGAGTTCCACTTTGAGGATCTAAAGGAACTGCAACGGAGGCGGCGACAAGAGGAGGAGCAAGAAGGAAAAAGGACAAAACGGCGAAGGAGCAGTAGTCACCGAAGGCGTCATCATTCCAGTGATAGACGCCGACATCGCTCGAGTGGCCGCCGGAGGGAGGAGAGCCGTGGAGGACGAAAACGGCGGTACTCCCCGGGAGGACACAAGAGTCATCACGGTGATCAGCATCACCACAACTCCACCTCTGCTTCACAACACTCAAGAAGTGACCGCAAGGATGAGAGACAGCGCCATGACGATCGGCAGCGCCATGACGATCGGCAGCGCCATGAAGATCGACAGCGCCATGAAGATCGGCAGCGCCATGAAGATCGGCAGCGTCATGAAGATCGACAACGCCACGGGGGACGTCAGCGTAACACTGGCAAGCAACCGCGCCGCCAACGATGATTCCCTGTTTTTTTCCGGGTGCAGGTGTGTCTATGTATTTGTGTGGTAAAGCGGGAGTACGTGGATGGAGAGGGCTTCAAGAACCAAAGTCGTTAAAATAGGAGTGGACAGCACGATGTGGTGTACTGCATTTTGTGTATTTGCATTGTTATGTGTATATTTTGTACAAACTTATTGATATCACTATCTCTTGTACAAATATATATCTTTTTCTTTCAAACATTCTAGTGCAGTGCGCCGTGGTGAGGTTGTGTGCGCGGAAAGCAAAGAGGTGAGAAGTTGCTCCAGGGCCTGGACGGTATTGGTATTGGTAGTAGTTATTGTAGGAGTAGGAGTAACTATTGTTTCGCTCCGTGATTTGTATTCACTCCTCAAATGCACACTCGCAATGCGCAGAGCTTTCCTGCGCTGCTCACCGACCTTGCTCTGGACGCCTACACCAACCATCTCACTTCACAACGCAGATTACCGGAAACGGATTCAATTTCAGGACTGACGACCGGTGCGGCTTCTCTAGAGGAAACCTTGGCGCCTCTGCAGCTTATTTATGGAAAGGTTTTTACTTTGGCTGTTGGAATTGCGCTGCATGGTGCCGAGTCGATCATTCGTTACGTGGCATACGACACCTGTGGATCGAATGATTGTGTTTCACACAGCGAACAACACGATCAACAGCGGCATCTGGAGGTGGAGAGTGCAAGTGGTAATTCCAGTGGAAGGTGCCTGTATTTTGTCGGTGAACACCGCCTCTTCTCGCCGTACTACTGCCCATGTGGGGCGTATGGCTATCAGGGCATTCGACGACAAGAGGTGTGGCTGTGTAAGCACCTGCTTGCACTCCGTATGGCACTTGTTTTGGAAGAAAAAGGCCTTGTGAAGGACGTCATACGCGAACGCAAGATAACGAGGTGCAAACTTCAGGAGATGATGCAGTCGCTGGACTGAAATGCAGGAGAGGGTGTAGAGGCCGCCGGTAATAATAATTATTATTTGCCTTTTTTTTCACCCTTTCCCTTATCACTGGCGACAGAAACAGGCTCGGATAATTTTCCTCTCTTTACCAGTATCTATTTTTACCTTTTTTTGAGCTAAGTGGTATATGTAGTCTTGCGTTTTTTTTTTGGGGTGGGTGGGTGGGTTCTCTCCTACTCTGGGTGCAAGTTTTGGCGATTGTTGTTACCTTGATTGCTTTTATCTTTTTTTCTTTCTTCTTTTTTAATTTTTCCACACTTTCTGTGTGTTGTGCGCCAACGGGGTTGGGAAAGGGTTCCAAGTATTTTGTAGAGATTTCACGGACGTAGTTGCCTTGTCGCCGGTTCTTTGTTGTTGCTGCTGCTGTGTGTGTCTATTCCTCCTTTCTGTGTTTATGGTCTCCTCCCCCAACCTCCCATGTAGGCGGTTATGCACGCATGGAGCGCCAGGACGTCCCAACGGGCTGTCTATGCCGGCCTTGGATGAGACGATAACGGAACGGAAAGGGTCTTCTCAAACCAACTTTCTTACTGCATTCTCTGCTCTATGGGGAGCCTCGTTGGAGCAACCACAACGACCACTTTGGGAGTTTTTCCAGCCACTAGTTGTGCCAACCCGAGAGGTATATACAACTCATCTTCTAGTCAACCTCCTTTGGTTTGCCAGAAACTACTACAACCTGGCCTTGCTGATTTCTTGCGTGCTGGCCATATACATGCCCCCATACACGTTGATTGTGATTGTTAGTTGTATCATGCACGTTATGAAGCGATACACATTTCGAAAGTCCTTAGTAACGGCTTTCGACACTGCCACGCCGACACGGCAGGAAAATGGTCGTAGCGTGATAATGATGTTGCTGATGCTTCTACAGATCTGTTGCTGCATTTACACCTGGTCTTTGACGGGGTTGTTTTCTATTGTCATGTGTGTTGTCGCTGTGGCGACGCCCATAGTTTTTCATGCCTTTTTTACACCCTACACGGATGAGGCTTTTAAACTCTACTATGAGGTTCTCCGAGCGAGGGATTTGCCACCTCCAATGCCTCGTTCACCGACGTGTTTGTTTTGCTCCGTGGACCCAGAGTTTGATGTTCGCGGCAACGTGGACGCGTTTTCAGTGAGCTCTTGGCATCTTAGCAGTGAGAAAGTTAACAGGCGAATATTGTCTCGCTCCTTCCCGGCGCCTCGGCGCCCACTCAAGGAGTCAAATTCAGACATTCACTGCCAAATACAATCTTCTGAACTTATTGATCGCATAGGACAAAATTTAATGTCGGGTAGCGTTGCCACTTAGAAACAGCTCTCTTTTTCGAGGGAAGACCTTGATGGACGCACCGATCCCATTGAGACTGCACCATCTGTAGCTGAGGCCGAGGAGCCCGGTGAGGCGTGCACTGATGCTTTACTGAGGCATCTGAAATTGCAGCGAAACAAAGAGGCGGTAACGTTGCTGCCAAAATCCACCAGCGCTGCAGTGCACACGCCCTTATTTGGGTTACGTGGCGAATAATGATTATGAGGAGGATAGCCTGGGTGATGAAGCGAGAGTGAGTCCCACCCCTGCAAGGAACACTGTGGGGAAGGGAGGGTGGGGTGGGGGGGATGGGGTGACGGACACAGAGGACGAAGGGACGTCGTTCGTTGGTACTGTTCTCACTATCAACACCTTTTCCGCCCCCACTCCTTAAACACAAGCTGCTAGCGCCGCAAGTTTCCGGCAGCGCATGAAGGAAATCAGACTCAACGGGGAAATATCACTGGGCACGCCCAACTGTGGCTGCATACAACAAAAGACATGAGGGAGTGATAAATACACAACCAGCATGGGAGCGAGGCTGAAAATTGAGTTGAAATGGATTACTAAATAAAACTGCCAACAACAGGTACGGAGACACTCTATACCTTCATTTAGGCGAGGTTTACATCCATCAATTTATGTTTTGCCGCATGAGAGTTGGCCTCAACTGGGGAGCGTCTCGTAAGTTACACGTATCTGAAGGTTTTGATTGCAGGTTCCACAAATCTAACTCTTCATCATGCACTCTTTTTCCTGGAATCTTGTAAGCAGGTGTTACATCTACCTCTCTATACAATTATATCGGTATTTGGAGGGGTGTTTTTCTTACCAGAACAGTGTAAGAACCGTGCAATTTTATTTTGTTTCTATTCAATAAATTGGACGGTGAAAGGAAGGGAAAAACCATTATATTATCTTGGACTTGACGTTTTTCTGGGTTTCTGTGAAGTGCACAGAGCGAGAGTGTTTGTAGTTACTGGTGGCAGTTTCACACATTGGGGTATACACGTGCGTATGTAGACTCTATGTCTGAATATCAGGACAGTTGGGTTTCTGCGACGCAGTCCTTTTGGTTGAAAGAGAGAGAAAAAGAAAGAAAGAGGAAACGAGTGCAGTAAGTAAGCAGTATTGTGTTGTGTGTTGCAAGATTATTATTATTTTTGTACTAAATTTGTGGAGATATATGAGGCCAAATGAGACGCAATGAGTGAGTGAGTCTCTTGTTGAGCACCCCGTTTTCTTCTGCGTTACTCCAGTTGTGCTCCCAAAGGCATTGCGTTGGAAGGGGGCGTGTGGACAGCGATAAGCTGGTGTTTCTGCCGTGGTGGCCAAGTCCGCTTCACTTGACCGCTGACTGGCCAACCCACACAACGCAGCTGTCGCCTTTTCCTGTGGGAGACTGCGGCAGCTTCCTTTTACATCACGGCATTGACGGTGTAGATGATGGTTGTGGGCCTGCTGGATGCAGGTGTCACTTCTTCTGCCTGAGGGATTCGCCAATGACGCGGACGATAGGGGGAAGTGTTGGAGGATACGGGGCGGTCTCCGGAGTTTCGCACGGTGATGGCGTGGCCACATGAGCTGCTTGCGTCCACTGACGCGGAGGCCCACAGGTGTGGAGGTGCCTGCCGCATAGGGCGTTTGGCTGCTGGGGACGGGCGCCCGCATGGATTGGGAGAGACCGTTTTGGAGTGTGGGTGGGCGCAATGTACCAGCAACACCCCAATGTTCGCCTTTTTGGGCGGCGCTACTTTCTGATGCGCACCTCGCCGCATTCAACTCGAGTCCTGCAGACGCGTTGTCAGTGGTCATTCTTTCGTTGACTTGCAAGGAACAACTAGAACAGCCCCCTTGCCGCCATCGATGCACGTTATTTGGTTACGAAGCATCCAATTGCAAAGTGCGCGGCGTTGTGTTTCCTGCGAGCTACTGACGGAGCCTACGAACTGCCCAATGTTTTCTAAACAGAGAGATGGTAAAAAGGAACAATGCCGCGGGGCTGCTCGGCGACAACGAACGCTTTGCGAGGAGGCCCCTCCTACACGAAATGCTTACGGACCGGCCGGACCATTCGTGCGATCACGCAGTTACATTCGATTTGGTGAGTGGTTCACCGCAGCCGGCGGGCATTGGGCTTGACGCCGTTCTTCAGCGCCGCTCGAATGTGGGACGCAGAATCTCTGGTCTTCCCTATATGAGAAAAATGTATGCGGCAGGTCAGCGAAATATTATTGAGGAGATGCCGGACCCCTTGACGTGGCAGCCAAGTTTGTCGCTAGCCGGCTAATTTGCAGTGTTGTTGCCAGAGACACTGGCGGTCGTTGGGCGAGGAGAGTGCGGCGGCATGCGTGACTGTGAGGTGGAGTGAGCGCCCCTGCGAGAGGGCATCCAATATGCCTGGATGCCGCAGGCCATGTTGCAGGTGGAACGGACTTTGCTGGACATGCTCATTATGGGTCCACAGAAGAATTTGGCTTGCTCGGAGACAAAACAGGCTCCGTCCTTGCCCACGGAGAAGATGGACGCGACAATAGCGGTGCTACAGTACCGGCGTGGCGGAAATAGAAGGAAAGGTGCATCTCTCGTCGGGCGTGGACTGTGGCCAGCCGGTGGTATGATGTAGGCGGCATGAACTCACGAGTAGCTGTTGACTTCAGACGGATGAGTCGTTGATTCTTCATTGCTCGCTGACGCCGAAGACGGCAAAGGCAGAGCTCCCTTCAATCTATCGGTTTGTGCGGACCCAAAGAAAGTTGGGGTGTCTGCGGTGTGTCGCTGTTACTGCCAGTCCTGAGGACGAAGTACCGTTCCGCCACTCTCACAACCCGGCATGTGGGCTGTATTTTGGCCTATCATCAGGTTTTGGCGCACTCCGGCGTGAAAGGTGCCTTGGACCACGCCAAGCAGTTGCTCGAAGTGCAAAGGCTTGGTCCTTCTCTCACGCGATAGCCTAAATTGTGAGGCAGAGGGAGGGGGAGCGGTGGTTGCGGGGCCCCAACGACTGTTACTTCGTTTTGTTTTTGTTTTTCCGGCGACTCTAGTTGTTGTCGCAAATGTGTTTTAGGATTATTATTATTTTTTTCGCGTGTGTGGGCATTTGAGAAACCTTAAAGAGGGGGAG